TACGATACACTGCTCAAATTCTAAACCAACTGCTTCCATTGCCGAGAAAACGGGCGCTCATATTATAAGGCAAGGTTATAAAACCACCTTTTAAGATCATTTTATTGAAAGTTTCATGATCCTATCTCATATAATTTAAGAACAATGATGAATAAATCATTTTCGAGCAAAATTTAAATGGACGGCTGAATATATTACCGCCGGAGAGACACGGCAGCGGAATTTAAATGACCGCGTCAAAGGGTTAATGGACACACTGTATCTGTTGTATTTGTGAGGCACGTGAGGAACTTGGGTTAGTGTACTCGTTGTCCGCCTTGAGGTTACATGTGGTGTCTTGTCTCTCCAAGCATAGTACCTTGAAATAGATAAGCCACTGCCTTTGAAATCTGTGTCTTCTTTCTGTCCATGGTGATTGTCACATTCATTTAACTGTTTATGATTTTTGTTCAGGTGTAGGGGCATATGTGTCGCCAGACATGATGGTAGCTGAGTACTCATTGCGACAGAAGCTTCCGGGTATGCCATACACTTGGACATCAAGGGGCCCCACTATGGATGGAGACTATGGTGTCACTGTATGTGCCCCTGGAGGTGCCATCACATCTGTGCCAAACTTCACCTTACGTAACTGCCAGCTTATGAATGGCACTAGTATGGCAGCACCACATGTTTGTGGAGCTATAGGTAATTTCTGTTGCCATCACACATGATCGGGATGCAGCTCCATCCAATTTATATCTTCACAGCCTGCCCCCTGAGGTCCATCCTGTTATTATTCCTGCATTCCCTTGTTTTTCTTAAGGCAATTCATGACAGCTTGTATGAATCCAATGCAGAATTGTCAGTTGTGGGATGTGCAGAATGTGCAGAAACTTGCAAAAACTTTCTACTACAGTTTAGAAGCAAAGAAAAACTGAAGACCAGTTCTTTTTGGCTTCTTATGGATGAAATACTGGATGTTACAGTTCAAGTAATTAGCATTCATGCTCTGAATTTTGGAAGTCCCCAATTTGATTCCTGCCCCACAGGAATCAGTTCCAATGTTTTTCATGTTTTTTGGGGGGGAGGGCTCTGAAGTAAGTGCTGGTTAATACCTGAAATAGGTCATAACCATACATATCCTCCAAGTTCATTGCCACTGCATAAACTGCAGTTGACATAGTGTCGTTAAAGGAACTAAACAGCTATTCTTCTCCCCCTCCTTGTTTTTGTTTTTTTCTATCTCTTGCACTCCTTAATATTCTTCCTCCTCTTCTTCACCCCTCTGAAGAAATGAATTCATCCACTTATACTGAGTCTGTTACTTTGTTGTTTTGAGTTCTTACTGCCATATTTGGAATGTTTTTAAAGTGCCTGACAAGTACTGTACAGGGAGATTGAGAAGTCACGCACATCACACTAAGCAATTATATTTTGCTGATTTAATGCACAAACTACAAGACATACAGCACTTACTATTAATGTTTATAACCTTACATCTTAGAAATGTAAAATCAAATAATGTCTGTACAAAATATGCTCAAAATGGCTTCCCTGTTCAGCAATGCATGCACGAGCTCTTTTTATCATGTTTGAGACCAATTTGTGGAGCACCTGTAAACTCATGCTGTTAATCACCGTCGTAATGTTCCTCTTGAGGTTATCCAGTGTATGTGGATTGTTTTTATAGAAAATTCCTTTGAGGAACCCCCAAAGAAAAAAATCTGCGGGTGACAAATCGGGCGAACGCGGGGGGCCACAATCCTTTTTAAATTAGACAGTGACCAAAAAACTTGCGCAAGAACTGCATGGTTTCATTAGACGTGTGACATGTGGCACTGCCTTGCTGCAACCAACACTCACATTCATCAACTTCAAGAAGAGCAATAAACTGTGTAATGATGTCTTGGTACACTGGACTGTTTACTGTTGTTTCAAAGAAAATTGGGCCCACTATTCGACAGCGTGATACAGCACACCACATTCCAATTTTCTGACAGTGCAAGGGCTTTTCATGTAACATGTGGTTTTTCATATGACCAAATCCTATTGTTTTGGCTGTTCACGTAGCCACTAAGGTGAAACCACACTTTGTCAGTGAAGAAAACCCAATCAAACTCTTCAATTCTGTGGTTGCCAACAATTGTCTGAAACCATCTGCAGTACACTGAGCGTTTTTCTTTATCCAGGTCCTTCAGTTCCTGCACACAGTGAACACGATACGCATGAAGGTGTAACTTCATTGCTTTCTGAGCACTTCCGTACAAAATCCCTGATTGCGCTGATAGTCTTCTCAGACTTTTTGAAGGGAACACTTGCAACATTTTCTCCACGTCAGCCAGTTTAGCCTCAGTCAAAATGGCTGGTCTCCCAGATCTCGTCCTGTCTGAAACAGATCCACATTCCCGAAATTGCTTGATTATTCTTGTTATTGTCGAATTGTTAGGAACTGCAGAATCCAGATATTCCCGACGAAACTCATCTGCGACACATGCATGAGAACGACTGGAGAAATAATGTTCCACAATGAAAACTCGTTCCTGGGAAAACGACATGTCTCTCATGTAATAAACAAAGCTATACTGTAGAGATTATATGATCGATACATGACAGATGGCGTTTCTACTCGTTAGTACTCGTACGGTACCATCTAGCAGTAGGAGATATAATTATGTTAACTGCAATGCAGTTTATAAAAACTTTTAGTTTGATGTGCGCAACTTTTCGATCTCCGTGTATAATATGCCAGTATACGTGATATCAGAAAGGGCATTTACACTGATCATCCTTTGTTGTATGTGGGCAGCTATTTGGAATCACATCTTTTATGCAAGTATGTTTGTCTACTATAGCATATATTGTAAAATGTCTAAAACTTTCTTTTCAGCTGTTTTGTTGTCAGGCCTTAAGAAGAAGTGTCTTCAGTATTCCCCATATAGTGTGAAGAGGGCCTTGGAGAACACAGCATTATACCTCGACAAAGTTGAACGTTTTGCCCAGGGACATGGATTGTTACAGGTTTGTTTGCGTCTTTCTAATGGTCTGTCTCTTCATGGCCTCTGCCAACATGGAACAGATGAATGAAGACACCCCTGATGAGGAGGTGCTCATAGGACAGAATTTAATTTTGTATCCTTGTTACAATCATTATCATCGTGATTAGATTGTAGCCAGTACAGGGGACATACAGCATAATGTGGACAGCATTTAGGATCATAAACATGAATTCATGACTGGATGGCAGAAATATGCCGGAAAATAAACACTGGGTCTGACAATTCTTTAAACAGAAGTCTTCGGCATTGACCTGAATCCTACAGCTTTCCTTCTGACCCACTGCTAGTATATTCTGTTCAGTCCAAGGTTGTCCTATTTCTCCTCTCTACAGAACTGGGTGCTGCCTCCAGCATTTACAGACTGGGGTGGATGTAAAAAAGTGTTGGAAGTATGTTGTTTATGATCAGTGGTTACACAAATTTCACATAATGTAACGTGTTTTGCTACTGAAGACGCCGTTCAGATTGTTAATTGGTTTATTTAACAACCTACAAGTCGTAACTACAAATACTTATAACACTGTTACGGGTTTACACACGTATTAAAGATAAGCAGCGACACACACAGAGAGAGCCTACACAGAACAATACCTGAACAGTGATAAAACAAGAAGTGGCCGCTGCAGCACTATAAACATAGGGCGTGTACCCCGAGAAAATTTTAATTTTTAAAAATTTGGAAAAAGAAAAAGAACAGAAAATTTATAGACATTTTAATTTGAATTGAAGTTTTAAAAAAGTGCCAGTTTTAAAAATCAAATTGACACGTGTAGGTTAACAAAGATTTTATACATACAATTGGAAAGACTGGTGATTTTAAATTTTAAACTACGGGCAGTGTAGCAGCTACGTAAGAATACACACCTGATGATGGCCATTTAGGGCCGAAACATGTAGTGTGGAGGAAGGGAAGAAGAAAGTACTACAATTAAATTGTTGCACTTAAGACTGAGTTTGTCTCATATATATTGGGTTTACACACTTTACAAACCTTAAACACCATTCTCTTCACAGTCTGTCTTCGGTAGTCTTCATGTATTTATAACGCGGGAGCTATACAAGTCTCTGTGAATTACACACTCCCAATATAACTGTACTGCAGCTCACATAAAATCTTGAAGTCACACAATAAGTCTTCACTGGCTGACTTCTCAGTTATCGTGCACTATCACAGATTATCACATAAAATCTTCTAACCACGTGTTTGGTTCTTCCCGCGACTACTGCTGTATTTCACAATTCACTCACTGCAACTGAACCTGGTGACTTGTAAGACTTCAGCTGTCTTCGGTGGCTGCTACATTCTAACTCACTCCTTACGCATTCCAGTCTCCCTTATAAACCCTCAGTTGGACAGCGGAAAACCCACATCGCTTCACTGTTGCATAAGCCGTGTTTACAGGTGTTGCTGTGCAATGCTGCCAAGAGTTGTTTATTGCTGCATAGCAACCAGCACACTTCGGCTTGGCTCAGCTCACTTTGGCTCTACTCGGCACGGTACAGAGAAACACCGCTTTCCATACTGTTGCGTAACCTTGTTTCCACTGTGGAGTGGAAAATGAGGAAGAAGTTATGAATGTTGGGAATGAATGTGAGAATGTGAAGAGATTGAAACTGAGACAGGGAGTAGGAATGGCAAAAATAGCTAGGCTGCAAGAAGGAATTCAACTCAGTAAGTTAATGTAATGTATAACATGTTTTCTTGCACATATTTGTAGTAAGATTGTGAATTTAGTTTGTGGTCATGGTGCAGTGACTGGTCAAGGCTCACCCCGTATTCGTCATCAATGTAATTCATAAAATTACTTGTCCTGTACAGACATATTTCTTTGTATGGGTTCATCTTACATTTGGAACCATCTTCCATTTAGGTAAATACGACATTACACGGAAAAAGTGGCTATTGTTATGAATTATTGTAGTGAAGAAAGTGTTTTGCCAGAGAAAATTCTCATCCTCATCTTGATTCTCAGAATTTTCACAGATTTTCATCTTGAACTGAAAAAATCATTCTCGCATCTTATTAAAATATGTGAAATATGTGCTTTGTGAAAAGACAATCTTTGAATAGCAAATCTACAACTATATGTCTAAAACTTAAATACAGGTACAAGCATAATTCATTAATGTTTGGAGTGAACTATTTACAATAACTCAGAGGGGTCCTCTGTAATATGTATATTTTTTGGCTTTGATGGGTTTGAAATTACAAGTAATTGCAGTTGCAGGATTTTGTACTTCCCTGGTGTTTGATGACATAGTTTAAACAGACTTCAAACCAGAATAAACTTCACTTCTACTTCCAAGTGAGAGGGGAGGGAAGTAAAGATAATCAGTGTTCGTATTTGTATTATGAGAGGGAGTGGGTTTCCCCATGCACTTAGGCCAGTTATTGGTCCATTGTGCGTCCCCCTTTAATTTCTACTGTCACCATACCCTACCGGTAACAGTGCGTGCCATCAGCCCTCATAGAGCCAACGAGGTCGGCCCTTGGTACCTTGATGCTTCCCCCATCCACCAGAGGCATTGGAAACTACTTGGGCAGGAAAGGGCCTGTAATTTAGCTCAGAGGTCTCTTAGAAACATGAGGTTCTTTTACGTGCTGTAAATATACGACATGGGACACACGGCTTAAAGTCCCTCCTGGAGGACTTGTTCCCTGAATTTTTTCGCCCTTAAAAATTTCACGACCTCCGCAGGGTTTGAACGCGCGTACCTTGAGTCATGAGGTGGGAACGTTACCCCTAGACTACGGAGGCTGCTTAAGATGATCAGTAAGGGAAGGTAAAAGGTTCCACATGCTGGTGTTCATCAGAGATCACCTGAATCATTACTTTCACCTTGCTGAAAATATGCAGTAACTGCAAGAGAGCTTTGAGAGTGCACACGTTAGCATAGGTTCTGTGTCTATAGTTTTTAATAACAGCTATTACAGTTGTTTCAGTTAAGTTTATAATTGCATAGAGTAAAAGCTTTTTGTAGAAAGTATTAGGTACCATAATCAAAATGTTATGTGTCATTCTGGTTTGTACTTTGCGTGTGGATGTTAAAGAATTTCAGTTGGAAGACTTTCTTTTATATATCAATAATCTTTTTTCTTTTGACTCTTGCGATTAGGTTGAAAAAGCTTTTGAACATTTGGTGGCATATCATGACCAGCCAGAACGAGATGTAAGGTTCCAAGTGACCTGTGGAGCCAGCAACAGCAAGGGTATCCATTTGCGTGGAGGGTTGCAAAATAGAGTTAAAAATCATGCTATTAGTGTTGAGCCATTCTTCACCGATCCTGACAACACAGGTGAGTCATACCAGATACGTTAAATCATCAGCATATCAGCCAATGTGCAAGCACATGGTAGTTGCAATGCAGGAAACTGTGTATACTGTACTGTCTGGCCCAGGAACTCTGAACTTTGTCTGAGAATGTATGCATCCTGTGGGGTTTGTAGTGGATGAAGTGGTACTGAAGCATGTATTTCAGCTTCCCCTGCCAAGTTTCATTCCAGCAAATGCTCCATTTCTCTTATCTATCATTTGGTATTGTTGGACTGGGCAATTTATGGTCTAGGTACAGAAGAGCTCAATCTCACCCCACCATGATGATGTCTCTAGGTTTGGTAGTTCAAGTGAAGGCTTATAAAGATTATTGTAAAGTGTATATACAATAAAACTCAGTTATAACACTCCTCAGTATGCCACAGATTCGGATATTGATGGGCCTGGTCATGTCTCCCAAGATGATCCCATATATTTTCTTTGTAAATAACTTTGTCTCCAATTTTATTGCAATTTTTTTCTTCACAAAGAACTTCTTTCAAATGACTGGATCTAGTTGGTTGCTCTGAGCAGATAATGCGACCTTGCAGTTTGAACCACCCCCACTCTTCTGTTTGGTAGAATAGAACAGGGAGTAGCTCTGGATCTTGGTGGTGGAAAGACAGTGAAGGGGGGGGGGAGGTGCAAACTAAACAGTATCAAAGAATCTTCTATTTTAGCGTCCTGTTGCACTGATTTTCTTCCATGATATGTATACAGTTGCCATCTTGTAGTGCACTCAATTTCATCTGTTACTTCACGACATGTTTCGGCAACATAGTGCCATCATGAGGTGCCCTAATTACGCTAATCTATTTCATTGCTTTCCTTTATAAAATTATTTAAAAAGTGCATATTTGTCAACTATAATAAATTTACACACACTAAAACTTGTTAAGATTATTCAGCTTATGTGTAATATTAAAACTTGTGTGTGGTTCTTCAACTATGGGGGTCGTTTTTCTTATATTCTGTGTAAACCGTGTCTTGTGGTGTGTGTTCCCTTCTTGGTTGCGAGTGTTGTAGTTTGCTCCTGTGACTCACGCAGTCACAGGAGCAAGACACAACACAAAGCACAATACACACATGAAAGTAGGAAGAATACTCCAGTAGAAGAAGATAGGTGTGACTCGCGTATTGAGATACGACATAAGGATGAGAAATCCTGAACAGCTTTAATATTTAAAATTTATCATTATATATGACGAATATATATTTTAGTCATTTTAGTATAAAGACAACAGGGCATGCAATGAAGTAGTTCGACGTACATAGAAAAGCACCTGAAAATGGCACTTTAGTGCTGAAACATGTAGTGCAAGAGAGAAGAGTAAGGTGAATAAATGTATGCACTGTAAGACAGTCAGAATAAATCATGGACAAGGAAATCCCTGTTACGGCCCATGCGGGGTCTACCCACTTCAGGCAGAAACAGACATACTGAGATGCCAAACAGAAAACAACTTATCTTCGTAGACCATGCTGGGGCTGGACTTTTCTGATCAGGGGGTAGAAACGACAATCGAGAAAATTTTAGAAAAACCAAATTTTAAAACAGCCTCTTTGAGTCAGATTGGCAGTGAGTTTCAGAGACGGTTCGGGGCATGACAGAAAAGGGGAGTGGAAGGGGATAAGAGGGAGGGGGGACATGTGTACTGGGGTTGTAGCATCAAACATACATGCACCCAAAGGAAATCCTCTAGCGCCCAGTAAAGCAATGGCACAATGTTATTATTGGTATGCTGAGGAGATGCCAGTTCTTCTCTCCATGAGTTACAGAAAAGTCCTCCATTGTTGAAATCAGTGTGACATGTTGGAAATACTGCGCTCAGGCTAAGGTAATTTAAATTCATGTTTCTAAAGGCTGTTAGAGGAATGTGTTATTGCAACTGTTTATCTTGCTTCCATCATGTGGGTTTGTATATATAAGTGTATATACACAATATATATATTCCAGTTTAAAGTTATAATTATGTTCACTAAAAGAAAAAGTCGGACATAATCAACAGAGTGAAATGTAATGTGAAGCCTGTTTATTCTTGAAGGAACTATTCACGGTTGGATGGAAAAAGAAAAGGTGCAGTTATTTGTTAATCAGGTGCATGATAAAGTTGGTTGTGACAGAAAAAGAGCCAGGTGTAGTGATGTAAGTTAAGTTGGACATTGTGTGCATATATGGTTGCCAGTAACACAGGTCTTCATTGTGCCTCCTGACATCTGCATGTTTTACTGCATAGGAACGTTTCAAATATGTGTTTTTTTCACTGTGGCTGAAATCACTAGATACTGGCCTTTGCCTAACTCTCTGGTGATGTAATAGTTTATAAGGTGGATGCACCTGTGTAAAGGACCCAGCTATCCTGCTGGTAGGATGATGGCCAGAGCAGAGGGGTCCTACTGCTTAATATGGACTTCTGGTCTTCCTCACTTCAACTGTGTTGTACCTTTATCAGAGATCACAAAAAAGGATGGGCATGATGTGAAGTCTGTATTGAATCCAGTCAGGTTGAAACCCAGGACTCACAGCATCCAAGTTCAGTACCTTAACACCTACCTTAACACCTAGACCACCAAGTGCCTGCTAAAAATAAGTATACCATATTGCTCCAAATATGATGAAATTCTCGTTTAAGGTTTCTAACTGAATAAAATTATAAATGGAGGAAATATAAGACTGAGATTTTTGACTTCAGATCATTGAAATTAGGCATTGAATGAGAGAAACCATAAATTGAGAAACATTAAAAGGGGTTTCACTCTACTGGGCATACTTTTCTCTACTGGAAACCTCTCCACAAGAAACTGATTATGTTAAATATAAGTAAATATGGTAAAAGTCAGAACTGAGTACTGTTTGTACTTAGCAGGTTCTTGTATCACTCAGGGCTTTAATTCAGGATCAGTTCCTGGCTGGGTTATTTTCTTTGCCTCAGTCTGGCCAAAATATGGCAGAATGATATCTTCACATAGGCCATGACTGCTGTCTTCCAAATCCTTACCATTCATGATCATTCTTCTTTGATTCTTCATAACCTGTACAGTTGAAACAGAATCGTTAAAGAACTGAAATATAAATCGTTAAAAAACTATTTAGTACTTTATGGTACTGGAAATCTACAACATTGATGTCTGTAATTTAATATATTTGTACCTTTGCTACCTTATAATTCAGATTCAGAGGGAAGACTGTGTATGAATTAGTTCTGTATTCATTGTAGCCCATTACATTCTTCTGAATACTATTTTTTGTACATGTGTTTTCTTTACTTTTATTAACTGCAGATCCAAGTAAAAAAATTGGCTTTGGTATTAAGCTGACCTTAGTTTGTTCAGAACCGTGGGTTGAGTGTCCATCTCATCTTGATTTGATGAACATAGCCAGAATGTTCACAGTTCAAATTGACCCAACTGGACTTCCACCTGGAGTACATACATCAAGGTAATTCTCTAAAACCTGAATCTTATATGTCAGAAATACGTACATGCATGTAAATATACAGAATCGAAATTAAAATCTATATTATAATTTTGTTAAAAGTTTTCAACGCTACTATTGCTTTTTAGTGTTACAGTGGTTGAACAAAAACCTGGTATTGGACCTTACCCTGAGCCAGTTTTATCCACCCAAACTTAACACAACCTGGTTCTCTTAGACCCATTTTAATAATTTCCCCATGTTTGTGCCTTGGTATTTTATATACTCCCAATATTCATACTGTCTCCATTATGATTTTTGTTTAAACTCTGAGATCTTGGAATGACCATGAGATGATAAGATTGTATTTATGAGAATAACAGTGGGCATTTCTTGAATTGTTAAGGGGTGATGTAGAATAGTTCAGAATTATATGATATGGTTAAAGGCTTGGTGTGGAGAAAGAAAACACCCGTATGTATAGGACCTGTTTGAAAGTAATGCTGATAAATTCAGCAAGGAAATGACCTTTGGCCAAAAAAAAAAAAAAAGATAGAATCCAGGTGACTGAAATGATTGTGTGAGAGAATGAAGAAAGAGCAACTGTTCAAAATAGGAATGGACTTTAAAGAAGGAAAGAGACCTGTAGAAGAACTCTGAACATGGTGGATGGACCAAGGTACATAGGTAGCAGTTTTGTAATAAAACTTAAATGTATATACTACTTAAGGTGCCATAGTATCACAGATAGAGAAGCACCATCAGCACTTGATAACAGGGAATTAAGTTTAACCTGATACATACTGTTTCTTTCTAATATTACAGTATTAAGGCATATGATGTTTCATGTATGGAGAAGGGTCCTGTGTTCCAAGTACCCATCACTGTTATTCGTCCTACACAGTTGCCTCATGATTTGTTTCGGCCAGACCTTCATTTTACTAATGTTATATTTAAACCGAACACTATGCAGCGCCACTTCATCTTGGTACCTGATGAGGCCACTTGGGCAGGTAAGCACAGTCTTTATTCTCTTTTGCCATTCGTTGTTTTAATAGTACATAATCTCTTAAATTTATATATCATCTTCAAATAATGAAAGACCCAGCTACACTTTTGAGAGTTTCTAATTACCATGCTAGTATGCATTCAGCCTGTAATAAGAACTTCATTATATGTAAAGTTGTCCCTGTGCTTAACTAATTAAACACTACACCATGAAATTGTGTTGGGGAGTGTATGTATAGACCCACGTTTTCTTGACCTTGGCACTGGTTGGAGGTGAGTGGTCAGCTTCAGGCTCCAGGCACTTTACCCCTGGCAAATTAGTCCCCTGTTCCCATTGGATAGAAGGCTGGGTGGGGCCCATAGCCGGTCTGGATGACATGGAGAAGGGAAATTTCTTGACCCTACTGGGACTCTAACTCTGACCCCTCAATTGTCCAGCCAGTCACCATACCAACTGCACAAGAACTTCATTATAACAAGAAAAATTATCAGCACCATTGGTTTTTTCATGTTATATATATTATGAAAAAATCTTGCATGAAAGAATACTTCTGTCTAGTACCTTCATCATAATTCCTCTGTAGCCATGACTAATCCATAATTTTCTTCAGTGACTGTACTAGGAGTATTGCTTCTGAATCTGTTTATATCTTGTAGTCTGTAAAGGTGCTGAGAACCCACCCTTTGTATGTCTCCATTTTCTAGGAGACAAAAGTCAGCATTCAGAAAATCTGTGAATACGAAGGGGGACCCAAAAATAACCGGAACCGACCTGTTGCGCGCGCATGCTTTGTAGTTACGAGTTGTGCTGCTAGGTGGTGTTAGCTGTGGGTCTCCCGCGACTGTTAGTGAGCTGGCGTCAGTCTGAGTTAAGTGGTTTGTCTGTGGTGCTCTGTTGTGTGCGTTCCTCTTTCAACCCTTTGGCGATTAGTGAGATGGCCGACCAGAAGGAACAAAGAGTGTGCGTGAAATTTTGCTTGATGAAGATCGTCGAAAGACCATTGACCAACTTTCTGAGGAAACGAACATCTCATGGAGCACGGTCCAGCGAATTTTAACCGAAGGTTTGCACATGAGACGGGTGTCTGCAAAATTTGTTCCTCGCTTGCTCGGAGATGACCAAAGAGAAAACCGCGTGAATGTTTGCCGCGACTTGAAGAGTGAAGTGCAGAACAATCCAGAATTTCACGCACACTCTTTGTTCCTTCTGGTCGGCCATCTCACTAATCGCCAAAGGGTTGAAACAGGAACGCACACAACAGAGCACCACAGACAAACCACTTAACTCAGACTGATGCCAGCTCACTAACAGTCGTGGGAGACTCCCAGCTAACACCACCTAGCGGCACAACTCGTAACTACAAAGCATGCGCACGCAACAGGTCGGTTCCAGTTATTTTTGGGTCCCCCCTCGTAGCTTACCTTGTTCAGATTTTAGCAAATGAGAAATCTCCGCACTACCTCATCATTGCAATATCTATTTCGTTATGTCCTATTGTGTCACTTGGCTAATGAACAGAAATTTATTTTTTTCTGTTATGTTCCATGTTTATATTGAAAATTGTTCAAATGTAATTATGGCAGTGAACCAGAAGTGCACAGATGTCACAGAAAATCTGTTCCACTTTGGTGACTAATGGGGTTTGTTATCTGGTAAATTTTAATGTAATTATTGATGCAAATAACGTTTTAATAGCTTAGAACCAATCAATGGTACTAATATTCTGTTCCTTGAGAGAGATGATTCAAAGGTAGGCTATGTAGGAGGCACAAGTGTAGTAGATTCCAAAAAGGAGATGTAATTTTGATTTTGATTTTGTTACAAGTGATAGTGGGAGACTTTGAAATTTTTAGTTTACATAATTTAAACACAAAATGTACACAAAGATAGCTGAAATGGTAGATTCTTATTTAAGAATCTTATCCTTGATCCTGTCTTCATAACCCAGAGACAAAAAAATTACCACGAAGCAGTTCAGTGAAGCTCAATTTTTATGGACATGATTTTCGGCTACTTTATGCAAATAACTATCTCCATGTTTGCTGCTGTTTGTTAACAAATGATATTTGCTGGTCACTGGTGTTAATTTCTTTCCAAGGCATTGTGACATGCAGATGGGGTGTTTATCTGATTGTACTTTTGAATCATAGGCAAAATGTGGGAAGTTCAAATTGTAAGAAATTGTGTAACGGTATACAAATACACGTACTTCTTGGTTTATGTGGCAGTTATGTTTGTCAGAGAAGTCTTAGCATAAAAGAACATAAATCAAACATAATTTCTCCATGAAAACAAATGGCTACAGTGTCTGAGCTCTGCTACAAAAGTAGGAGGTAATTCATGTGATTGCTTAAACTGATTGTCTTATGCAGTACGGTACCTCTGTTTCCTTCTCGTTTTAATAATATTTATGTCATTTAGTATGAGTAAATCATATCTCTAATTGCTTGCTTTGAAAAAAGAGTGCTGTAAATTTCTAAGAATTATAATAACATAATCTGCTTGAAACATGCAAAGAGAACATGTGGCGCTGAGTCAGAATCACTTGTTCACTTGTCCCATGACACATTTTCTTTTTCTCCATCTCAGACATTAGGGAACATATTAACACTTTGTGGACTGCCAATTTAAATATTTAAATCACCCTGGGGACTGGCATTTTTAAACCTACCCTAACTTGTGCACTGTTCAATTTAAAAATTAATATAAAATCTCCAAATTAATTTTATGACGTAAAATTTTTGGAGAACACTTACCAATGCTCCTAGAAGTGCTTGAGAGTGTGATATTACTGGAAACATTACCCTTTGTGAAGTGGCATTACACAGAACTTGCAAATGCAAATGCAATTATCCCTCCTTGTATGCCCCATTAGAAAGATTATTGCAAAAAAAATTTTCATTTCTGCTGAAGTGACATCCACCCACTTCATCATCTTATAACTTCTGTCATACTCTTCATGGTGTTGGAGATAGTATCTGTTAGTTTCCTGACATAACATGTTAAAGAAACTATCTCCAAAAAACAGTTCTGCTACTTCAGACACTTATGTTGGGTCCGATGGAATTTGTTTCACCCCTGGATTTCCAGTAAACTATCCCAAAGTAAGCGTCTTGTCTACTTTTCCCCATGTGGCTGTCCCTGCAATGTTTCTACCCACATTTTTGTCGGAGCAACTGTCACTTTTACTGTCTGTGGCCACAATTCTTTGTTGTCCCCTGTCACTGCCACTGTCTGACTTCCTATCACTAGACGTCTCACAAGGCACGTCAGATAGCTCATCAGAGAACAAGTGAGATATTTCTTGTTCTCCAAGAGATCGCTTGGTCTTCAACCGCTTTCGTCCTTGATGCATATTGCACTACTAACTTACTGCCTGGTACATACAGCTTGAAGACGAACAAAGGCATTTTCCTTTGGAGTGGGATAGGAAAACAGCGAGGTCATGTTACTGACTACTAAGCAAACATTTGGGAGGTCTATTACACACCAGTTATGCATCTGCATGATGCCAGAGCAAGATATAGTGTATGTCCTAAAATCATAATATTATGCGACCAGTCCGCCATGTTTAAAAGCGAAAAGCATAATATTATGCGACAGGTCCGCAGAATGTTAACAAAATGTATTTTAAACATTACTTTGTGCTGGACTGAATGAGGAGTGGGGAGGGGCCAGCACAATTTGGCCAGCCCTTATCCCCCCCCTCAAAACCTTGAGAAACCCTGTTCTTCTCCTTTCCAGAAGAGTAGAGAATTGCCCCGTCTGTGTTTGGACCCAAACATTCTTGAAGGTATAACCTGCATGAAGCTGGTTGCAAGGCAAGGAGAGCACAGTTTTGTCTTAGTCTCATTTTGAGCTTAAAGTGGCATAGAGTGGTTCTGTATGGAGAACTGGGCATGAAACTGAAAGTGCTCTGACTCACAAGCTAGTTCAGTGCAAGATGCAGGAAGAGGACAATGCAGTGGCATGCTGCGAAATAGTAATGGACAAGAAAGAACTTGTATCAAAATCATAAATTGCTGTTTATGATGAGGCAATAACTGTACCAAGGAACAATAAATGTTGCAGTTATTAAAAGGCCATGCCTTAGCTCAAGCGGTTAGTTGCTGGGTTCCCACCACGATGGCTCAGGTTCGATCCCGGGTCTGGTCAAGTGGGGGTTTGTGGTGGACAAAGTGGCGCTGGGGTGGGTTTTCACCAAATACTTCGGTTTCCCCTGCCAATCTTCATTCCACCAAATTCTCAATCATGAAAATCACCTGGGGCAGGTACAATAGGCCAATCAGTGGCCGCTATGCCAAGTGGACCCAGCTGGACTCCACCCCCTACTAAGCGAATACAGTTATAACATAGTCTTTGGATGACAAAAACAGTTTACATTAATAATAAGGAAGTAATGAGAATTAACACCAGTGCACAGTAGCTGGCTTGCTAAATGGAAGAGTGGATGATGTGATGGACGAGTCATTGAGCTGTATGGGGGATGGTTCAAGATGATGAAGTAGGTGATTGCAGTGGTAGAGAAAGGGATTGAGTTAGTTGGAAAAATAGGTAATATTAAGTTTTGCGTTCATGGCCATCAAAGTCAACGGTAAAGCTTCACTAAGGATATTTGATGGATCTGCTGGCTGTGATGTCTTTAAAAAATGTATCCATCTTTAGTTGCTTTCCAGCTTGTGACTTTTCGTGCACTGGAGGATGTAGAGCTGGGCTATATTTCTCCTGCTCTTATTGTATTATGCAAATATATGTACTTGCTATGGCAAACAGTGATCTGTTCTTGCACAGTTTTGCGGCTACGTTGTGTCGAGAAGGATAAAGATGGACGTTTTATATTACACTGCCTGCAACTGCGTCCCAGGATGGTTTGTAAAACACTTGAATATCACAGGGTGTTCAATGTCATTTCGCAGAGTGAGGTTATCAAAGCTTTCCCTGTGCGGGTAAGTATTTTCACAATTCTTGTTTTCATGTGTATAGCTTGTGGTGTTTGCTTATGAATAAGTTCTGTATCATGAATGGCTTTATTATTTTACATTCCTGTAAACTCAAGATGGGTATGGTTCACCAAAAATCATAATACAAATTTGTATGGTAAATTCCCCAACTTTTTAAATAGCGCACCAGCAAGTGCTATTAACAGAATGTGTATCATGCTGCAACACAGTGGCTAATTTGGAAGTAGCTTAGCAGGAACCACAATGCACTATTTTGCTTAGTCATTGTGCTGTGCCTGTTTGTGTCAACAAGTGTTACATGTGCCTGGCAATTTTTATTGTGTTTAAAGTGAGCGATTTTCACGAGCAATGAATTTGTGTGAAATTTTGTGTCAAATTAAGAAAATCCTTTATGGAGATGTTTGAAATGTTAAAAACAGCATTTGAAAATGAGGCTTTAGGCCGGACCCAAGCATATGAGTGGTGGAAATGTTTCAAAGATTGCCGAACTTCATCTGATGATCCTCGTTCAGGCTGGCTGTCAGTATGCAAAACTGATGAAACTGTTTTAGAAGTTAGGAAAGTCATTCGTTCTAACCGTTGTTTAACTGTTCACCAGGCAGGTGAAGAAGTAAGCATTTTGAAAACTGTCTACCATGAAATTCTTATGCAAAATTTAGGCATGAGTTGCATTACAGCCAAATTTGTGCCTTGCCTTTTGACTGAAGCAAAAGCAAATTTGAGTTTATGTGAGTCAAGAGCGTTTGAATCAAGCTAATGAGGATGAAAACTTTCACAAAAACAATATTACCTTAGATAAGAAATGGGTTTATGGATACGACGTTGAAAGAAAAGCTCAAGTCATCACAGTGGGTGTCAGAAGGGTTACCACAACTGAAAAAGTGAGACAGGCACGGTCAAATGTTAAAGTCATGCCGACAATTTTTTTTTATTCTGAGGGCATTGTTCACCATGAATTTCTTTCACAAGGCAAGACAGTGACCAAGGAATATTAATTTGACATAATGAAACATCTTCATGAGGCTATCATAAAGAAGGCCAGTGCTTGAAGGTCAAACTTATGGATGATCCCTACTGACAATGCACCTGCGCACACATCGCTATTAATTCTTCAGTTTTTGGCAAAACATGAGACAACAGTTGTTCCATAGTCCCCTTGCTCACCTGATCTAGCACCAGCAGACTTTTTTTTAATTCCTCAAATTAAAAATGTCATTGAAAGGCCCATTTTTGAGTCAGTTGACTTGATAAAGGAAAATTAGCTAGTGGATCTGCACAGTATCCCAAATTAAGCATTTCAGAAATGTTTTGAAGGATGGAAGAAACATTGGGAGTGGTGTATTCAAAGTGGAGGGGACTACTTTGAAGGCGACAAGGCTGAACAGCTTCTCAGGCAGGCGAAAGATATTTTCTTTAAAAAGTTAAGGATTTTACCAGACAAACCTTAAATTATATACAGAGTGATTCAGAAAGATGGACACAATTTCAATTGACTATATTTCCTGAACTGTATGTTGCATTTGAATTCTGTAAAGTACATTTGAAAGAGGATGTTACAAAGTTTCTAGTACTACCGCTAGTGCCCTCCATCACTGCGTCAGTTGTAAGCGAGATTGCTACTGATCAACACAAGATTTTTTGCATTCGTGAGTTCAGTAAAAGTGAGTCTGCGACTGCGGTGCAGCGTGCATTTCGTCGTAAGTTTAACATCCAACCTCCAACGAGGAAGAGCATTTATCGTTGGAATAAACAATTTGATTAAACTGGCTCTCTGTGTAAGGGTAAAATCCCGGGCTGATCACGTGTATCGGAGGAGAACGTGGAGTGCATTCGAGTGAACTTTGAGCGCAGCCCAATGAAGTCAACCCGTAGTGCTAGTAGAGAACTTGGACTATCGCAAACAACTGTGTGGCGTGTACCACCTCTTCCCACAAATTTGAATGACCTAAGAAACTGTATCACAGCTGCGGTGAACTCAGTGACGCAAGATATTTGTCATCGAGTGTAGGATGAATTCAGCTACCGTCTAGATGTTATCCGTGCAGCCGGAGGGGGGCACATTGAACATCTATAAATTTCCATGTATATATAATCAGATGTAATTTACAGACTTCAAATGCAACATATAATTCAGGAAATATAGCCAATTGAAATTGTGTCCATCTTTCTGAATCACCCTGTATATGATATATATCTTTGTCAAAGGACTTAACAACTTTATGCATTCCCAAGAATTTGAAGTGTAGGTGTTAAGTGTAAAATGAATGAATGAATGTATAAGGGGTGGGTCTTATCATCCTTGCACTGCGACCTACAATGGTCTATTGTGCTTCCTCATTTGTTTATCCCCTCAGCAATCCTGCGCTTTGAGTGAAGTGTAGGATTTTGTACGTGGGGGCGTCGAAATAGTCACTCGGTTCCATAAAGTATTGACCCAAGTGGCATAATCTTAAATAAGCTAAGGCCTCACATTCACACAGGAGATATGTGGCTGTTTCATTTTCTTCTTGATACCTCTCACAAGTGGGACTATCACTTAGTCCCAGTTTGAAGAGGTGCTCTTTAAGGTGACAATGTCCTGTAAGTAGTCCCACCACCCATTGTAGCTGGTTCCTGTTTAAACAGTTCCTTTGCTCTTTTAGCTGAGGGTCCTCATATGAGTCCCTTTGCTTGCCTGAGTCCAGTCACAGAACCCCAGTATTTCTTTTGTTTCATATTTGTTGAGTCCCCGATTGCCTGTCTGGCAACTCCTATAGAGATGGCACAGGCTGGTTCCGGTCCTATGAACGGATGTTCAGCTCCAATCTTAGCTAATTGATCTGCTGTTTCATTTCCAGCAATACCCTCATGCCCTGGCGCCCATATCAGTTGTACTCTGTTATGTTTGGCCAGTTCCATGAGAGTTTGGTGGCAATCCCAGACCAATTTTGAGTTGATCTGGTGTTTGTCAAGTGCTTTAAGTACAGCTTGGCTATCAGATAGAATGTAGATGTTCCTATTTTTATAGTTCCTATCTAAGTTCTCCATAATACATGCCTTAATGGCATATACTTCTGCCTGGAATACTGTTGTGTACTGCCCAAGGCTGAAACTAAGTTTCTGCCCTGTGCCATAGCAGTACACACCAGCTCCAGTGTCCTTATTTATCTTGGAACCATCTGTATACCAGATCAGTCCCTCTTTTCTATCAGGCCGAAGCCTGACTTCCCATTCACTCCTGTCAGGAAATCTGACTGTGAAGGGTTTTTCATATACATGTCTCAGTATCATTTTGTCAGACCCGATTCGTAATATGAGTTCTTTTTTCATGTCCTGAGTTATGTATGCATGGCCGAAACCATCGGATGTAGGTTTCCATTGATCACTGCACTGGAGATAGTAGATTCCTGCCCTGGCCTCTGCCTCCAACTGTAGATGCAGTGGGGGAGTCCAAGGAGTATCTCCAATGCAGCTGTTGGAGATGTTTGAAATGCTCCTGTGATACCCAAGCAAGCCAACCTTTGCAATTTGCTAAGTTCTGCTTTGCTTGTCTTGAGTTTAACTCTGGGCCACCATACACCTTATGTAATTATTGGTCTTACAACCGCAGTATATATCCAATGCGCAGCGGCGGCTGCAGTCCCCAAGTTTTACCACACATGCTTCTGCATGTCCAAAAAGCCTTATAGGCTTTGTTAATGACCTTGTCCAGCTGCTTTTTCCATGTCAGTCCCTTGTCTAATACTAGACCAAGGTACTTGACATCGCTGGAGAGCTGGATCGTCTTATTGAAGAAGGTTGGTGCCTTAAGGCCCTTTATATTACTCTTCCTAGTAAACGGCATAATTACCATGTTATTGGGATTGATGGAAAGACTTATTCTTTCACACCATCGTTGGACCGTGTACAGAGCTGTTTGAAGATGCTCTGATACTGTCAAAAGGAATTTTCCATTTATGATGATTGCTATGTCATCAGCATATCCTACTGTATAATACCCATCATCATTAAGTCCCCACAGGAGATCGTGGACAACCAGGCCCCACAGCAGAGGTGAGAGCATGCCCTCCTGTGAATAACCCCTAGACGTGGACGCCTCCAGGGTTTCTCCTGATAATGAGCTGCTATGGTTCTGCTTTCCAGCATAGCACTGATCCACCTGCATATTGCAGGCTCTATGCCATTCTTTCCAGCAGCCTGTTTGATTATATCAAATGAGGTTCTATCGAAAGCTCCCTCTATGCCAAGGAATGCTGCTAAGGCAATATCCTTGGGTTCAATCACACCTTCTATGCGTGTTACCACATTGTGTAGTGCGCTTTCAGTAGATTTACCTGTTGGGTAGGCATGTTGGTTTCGGTGTAGAGCATATGTCCTCAATGCCCCATCCCTGATATGCCTATCCACTATTTTCTCCATCGTTTTCAACAGGTAAGACGACAGGCTGATAGGACGATAAGCCTTAGCCTCGGTGTAATCAAGTTTCCCAGGCTTTGGGATAAACGTCACCTTAACTTGCCTCCAGGCCATGGGGATAAAACCATATGCCATGCAGACTATATATGCAGCATAGGTGTGGAGCTAAGAGTTCTGCCCCATGCTGCAAAAGTGCCGGTACAATTCCATCTGTTCCCGCTGACTTAAATGGTCAAAAGTTATTCAGTGCCCATCTGATTTTTGATTGGTTGGTTAATTATGACTTTGGCCAGGTTCCAGTCTGCCCTGTTCGTCTTGCTTTGGCAAGTGCCCAGGTTTTGCTGATCCTGTCCATCGTCCAAATTAGCAATCAATTTTGAAACAGGAAAGTGAACCCTGAATAATTCGTTCAGTGTCTCCCTTCCTGTTTGAGTATACTGCCTCTTAGGCAACTTAATCGTGCTGACCTTATTGGTCGCCTCTTTTGCCATGATCTTCATGAGTCTGGCACTGCCTGGTACATCATTGCTCTCCTGGCTGTACCTCCTCCATGAGGATTGCTTGGCTTCCTGTATTTCTTTGTTGTAACAGGTAAGGGCTTCCTTGTAGGTGTCCCACTGCCCTGTTCTTTTAGCTGTATTAAACATCCTTCTCATTTTGGTTCTAAGCCCACTCAGCTGTTTACTCCACCAAGGTGCTCTCCTTGGTCCGCGAGTGGTCTTAGCTGTACAGTTCCGATTAAAGGATGAGATAATAGCCTGTTACAACTGGTCAACGGACCGATCAACATCCTTTATTGCATGTATATTTCGTGAGATGGTCTCCAGATTTACCTTTAGGTCTTCTTTGTAAGACTCACAATTGGTTCTCCTAGGATTCCTATCAATAACCTCCTTCCTATCGCAAACTACAAAGGTAGGTTCATTACCATGGTTTAGAATATTCACGTTCGAACTCACCAGAAATTCCATAAGGCTCTCTCCCGTTGAGTTAGTGCTGGTGCTCCCCCACACAATGTGGTGCACGTTGGCCTCACACCCAATGATGAGTTGCTTTTTCCTGCTACAGCAGTAGTATATGCTGTTCCTCATTTCCATATTTGGTGGTGGTTCATCCGCGTCATATGGAAGGTAGACTGAAGCAATAATCAGTTCCCTGCTTCCTCCTCGATACATGTATGTCATCCTTACCGCTGTTGCATCCCTAGAACAGAGTTCTAGCAAAGGCAAGGCATTAACATGATTCCTGATATAAACACGGGATCTTGCATGATTATTGGGTACAGCAGAGTAAACTGTTCCCCCTGTGTTAGTTAAGCCCCTTATTTGACCCTTGTATAACCAAGGTTCCTGAATAAGTGCTATATCTGCCTTACTCTCAGCTAGTTGTTGGCAAAGAGTTGCTGTGGTGTAGGTTAATTTGAAGAAATTTCATGGTGTTTGTATGTGCTCTGTGTGTGTGTGTATGTGTGTGTGCGTGTGTGTGTGCATGCGCGCGCATGTATTAAGTGTGTTTTTCTTTAGTGATATCTTCCAATTGGGGAGGGGTCAATTTCCATCTTATGTCCCTCCCTGTCCTCGGACTGGGTTCCGTGTGAGGGGGTCCCCTGATCCACTTTGCTTTGGTCATCTGGGGGGGGGGGATCTCATCTCCCTTCCTCTCAGGGACCAAGTTAGAAGATACTGTATCTGTCACAGGTTCTGCCTGGCGTTGACCTTCAGGATCATTCAACCCCTTAACAGTCCCCTGTGAGAGTCCTGTAAACATTTTGTAACCAGTCCTCTGTATAATAGTATGGGAGTCCCAGTCTATGAATAAGATAAGCCTCTGGCCTTTTGACTCAGATTGCTTATCAAGTACCCTCCAGTTCTCAGTATGAATTCCTGGATTGAGGTCTGCAGTCCATTTCAGCAGCTCTTCCTGATTCCAGGCAATTTTGTCCCTAGTCCGGACAGCCACTTTAGCAGGCTTGGGCAGGTTCCTGGCATCAGGAGCCTTCAGCCTGGCCCCTCATTCAAGCCTGTGGTTGTCAATGGCTTTGGTGAGCCATTGACCAGACTTTTGGTCAGCGCATACATAAATAAGTACACCTCCCACTAGTCTGTAGGATTTCAGGCGTGGTAGTTCTCCCTTTGGAGTCCTATGTAACACCTCCCCCAGTGCTTCCAGAATGGAATTCTAGTCATCTTTGGTAAGCTTATCCGCAGGATAAGTTTCCTTGAAGATAGCTACCTTTATATTGGTCAGAGCCTCCTTGTAAGTCCCTGGGCCTTTTTGGAGTCCTGGCCACTTCTGTAGGGGTACTGCCCTTTGACCTTGGCCTCTTAAAGGTGCCGGTGGGGGTTTCTCCCTGCTTGGACTAGCCTGCATTTCCTGGTTGCTGACTGCCCCCAGTTCCTGCTTTGCTTGCCCCAGCTCTTGCCTTTTCAACTTCTGTCTAGCGCATCCAGACAAGGCTTTTTTCGCTAGACAGGGTCCACCTACTCCTGCTCCTTCTCCTGCTGCAGGTATGTTAGAAGTACTAGCTCCCTGCAGTGGTGTGTCAGTACTATGGACTCCCAGGAGAGTAGTTTTTGGTTTTACCTCAGGCAGGTTTTGAACCACTGGTTCGTCCCTGCCTTTGACTGAAATTTTAACAGCAGGTTCGCTGGTTGCAACTGGACCCCTTAATGGTTCACCAGAGCTTCCAGGGCCCTGCTGAAGCATTTCTCATAGGGATCCCCTTGGATGGGGCTCCGTCTTCTGTTTAAGGTCTTTACGATCGTTTTTTGATTTGGTTCCTTTATTAATTTTGGTCCCATGAGTCATGGGGATTTAAAAGGTCACCACCCTCAGCACCCCATACGGGTGGAAGGCATAAATACAATGGGGTGCTGCCTGGTGTCCCGAGGGGATTGTTCAAGACACTGGCTAATTACCAGCCCAGTGACATGCAGCCCCCAGCACAATGCCTCACACCTTGTCTTAGGTAGTTTGGTCTTGTAGTGAATGCAACCTTCACAAGCCTCCAGGACCAAGAGTGCCTGTTCGGGGGAGAGATAAATGGGAGTGTGACACCAGTTAGTCATGAGGTTGCGACCAAGGAAACCTACACGAGAAAATTGCCCCTGGTGGTTGCTTGTAAGCTCCCCATTCCCACCCCTCCACATGGGTTGTTCAAACCGTTTTAGAGTGTTGAGCCCTAAGGCTTGTGGCACCTTATCGGTACTCTAGGGAGACAACTCAAATAGCTGAAGCTACCCCCATAGGAGTGCTCTTCCGCATTTGTCCCTGGTACACTGTAGTGACACCCAAGAGTCATTATGCCGCAGTGTGGGAGGCTCTGGTCATAATGCCATTGCCCTTTATGGGAGCTTGGCCGCCAGCCCTGGTAGGTCATACTGATCCAGACCCTGAGACTGTCATTGCCCATCGGGACCATGAGGAGGTGTCCCAATGCACCCCTGGTCCATGATGTGTCCCCACCAAAGACACAGCTGTGGTTCGGCCAACCTCACAGAGGATGGCATCATTACCACCTGTAACATGTGACATAAGAAAGCCACAGTTACCCCGGGACCAAACCTGGGCTGCCTTAAGTGTAATAAGTGTCAATTCAATGGGGTTGTTAATTGCAGGTCATAGGTTGAGGTATGGTTTTATAGGTCTTTAAGCAGAAGTTTTCATGACAGTTTATCTTATTTTCAAGAATGCTTGAGATGTGTTTCAAATTGAGCACAGAAAACTGAACAAAATCTGCTGTATGTTAGTTTAAAGAATGTGTATTCCATTGTTATGCTGGTGGTTCACATAGGCAGGACCCAAGCTAGTAAGATGTGAAAAGAATGCATAATGAAGCAATTTAATGTTCTGTTAAGGAGAAAATTAAGGAATGATGTTTTTCTCATGCAGGGTGGCCTGGTGTTGGAAGTGGTTGTGGCTAAATACTGGGCAGACCTTGGAGAGGTGACACTAGACTACTCAATAGCATTCCATGGTGTTAAACCAGAAAGCCCCAGTGTAACAATGCATGGTGCTGATGGTATTTTGTCCTTGGAGCTGCGTAGTGGCTTGAGGAATGAAGAGATCTCTCCTGCTGTAACACTCAAGAATTCAGTCCAAGTTCTCAGGTAGGTTACTCACATTGATGTGTTTTCTTTGGGCATTGTTCCTTATGTAGTTGTAGGAATCTGCTTAAATGAGATGTGTTATTTTGGAGGCTAATTCTCTAATTGTCTTCATGTGAAAGCATTTGGTACTGTACTGTGGATTCATTAGGTAATGTCATTATTTAAACTGCATTCAGTGACAGGATATGGTACTTAATTGGTTTGTTACTTGTACTGTATATAGATTTTCATTTGTGCATTTGTGAAACATTATTAAGAATCATTTTGACATTCCAGGCCTATAGAATCGAAGGTCAGACCCTTGTCAGCACGAGACATTATTCCGCCATCTAGGCAGATATATGAACTGCAGCTCACATATAGCTTCTCTATAACAAAAGCCACTGAGATCACACCCAACAGGTAAATGTTCTGTCAGTCGGTGTTGAAACTGAATGTGTAATGAATTTCTTTTGCCTGATCCTTAGTATTGTTTCTTCATTTGCTGATTAAAGTGAAGATGTCATTTTGAATCTGGAAATTACAAGGTTAATTTATTAGAGATTTGAGCGGAAACTGGACAAGAATTAAAATAGATGTCAGCAGATTGTAAGAATTAAAATAGATGTCAGCAGATTGTAAGAATTAATATTAGTTTCCTCTAGACTATTAAGAAAGGTACAGAATTGTAGGAAATGTGAAACTGGAACATATGACAAGTTCTGACAGTTGCAACACTACAAGAAAACTTAGTAGTAGCTTGTATACAAGGTGCTTTTTGAAAGTTCCTGGACTGTTATTGTTGTAACTGTCTCAGTGAAAGAAGATGAGAAGGGAGTCAAGGTCACACTTCTGCAAGCCAATTGCATCAGTCTGCCATGTGACACCACACTATGAACACACATTGTTTTTACACCAGTGGTTTTTCAACTTTGTGTTTCTTTTGTCCTGCGACGGGTGGCAAAATTGAGCAACATGTCTGCATCAAGTATTGCATGAAGCTTGGTAATTTTGGTACTGAAACCCTTGAAATGTTTTGTGAGGCTTTTGGAACATTCTTGAAGCTGGAGAGTGGTTTTTGAACATCATTCACATTTCAAGGCCGGTCTAGTGTCAGTCGAACATGATGAATGTTCAGGGGACCAAGCACCAGCAGAACAACAAAAAATGTTGAAAAAATTTGAGAACTCATCCACGAAGACCATTGCTGAACAATCCATGAGCTTTGAGACACCGTTGGGATTAGTTATGGAGTTTACTAGGAGAACTTAGTAGAAAATTTGAACATACACCACATGGCCATGAAGTTTATTCCCCGACGCTTGACAAATGATCAAAAGCAGCAGTGTGTAAACATATCTTGATCTATGAGAGAAGGCTAACAAGGACCAATGTATAGGGGGTGGGCCTTCTTGGCCCTTGCACCGTGACCACAGTGATCTATTGTGCCTACACTAACAAGGACGAAACTTTTATCTCTAGGATTGTAACGGGTGATGAAAGTTGGATTTACTCATACAGTTTTGATCCAGAAACAAAGCAGCAATCATCACAGTGGAAGAGCCCGCAGTCACCAAGAGCAAAAAGGCACAGCAAATCCTGAGTTCAACAAAGAGCATGCTCATTGTTGTTTTGATTGTGATGGGGATTGTTCACCATGAATTTCTTACTCCTAACACTATGGTCAACTCTGACTTTGACTGTGATGTTTTGAGATGCTTGAGAGAAGATGTGGGACAAAAAAGACTAGAACTTTGGCGCAACCACAACTGGCTCCTTCATCATGACAACGAGCCCATCCACACATCCCTGAAAACCACAGAGTTTGTGACTAACAACAACATTGTTATCATTCCCCATCCTCACTGCTTGCCAGATTTAGCCCTCTGTGATTTCACTTTGTGTTCCAAATTGAAGATGAAAATGAAGAGATGGGGGGGGGGGGCTCGCAGTAGCATAGTTGGTTGAGGCACTATGCTACAAACCAGAAGGTCGCGGGATCGAATCCTGATGAGGCTATTGAATTTTTTCAGTTCACCTAATCCTTCCAGCTGCACTTTGGCCCTGGGGTCGACTCAGCCTCTAACATAAATGAGTACCAGGAATATTCTTGGAATATTCTTGGGGGTAAAGGGCGGCCGGCGTTCNGACTTTTTGAAACAGTGTCTGACATCCAAAGGGAATTGCATGCAGCACTTGACAGCATTAAGGAAAATCACTTTCACTGTAATTTTGAAGCATGGAGAAAATGATGGGATCACTATATATGTTCTCAAGGAGACTACTTTCAAGGGAGTGGCAGCCAAATTTGAGTATGTTAACCCAGAATATCTTTTTTGACCGAGTCTGGGTACTTTCCAATAGCACCTCATATGTCTTTGGTGCTTCAAGATGCGGTCTATGTTGTCCTGTGCCTCAGTGATGTAGGGTCCATTTGCGAGATGATGGTGCCATAGAGCAGATTCTTTTACATCCATTGATAGACTGTTCATGTAAGGGAGTGAGGAGGGACTGCTGCTTAATATGGTGTCTGAACCATGGGTGGTATGTTCTTGTGTAAGTTTCCAAATTTTTTAGAAATATGGACAAAGATCTGGCTCAGGATCAAAGTCAGAATTCTCAAAATGAGAGAGTCAAAATTTTGACCCAAGAGCACCTGGTCCTCTAGAAAACGTAATGAAATTAAGGATGTATTGCTATGGAAATATTGTACATAAGGATAACATTATCCCTCTTACAACTTAAAAATAATGGAGTGAATAAATGAATTTGGGAAGGTCAAGGACTGCACTATATCCAGTGGATCCAAAACTGGAGAATGTATGAACTATAAGTGGAAATTCCACTTTCACTTTTTGAAGACTTCCTTCCCCCTCTGGGCCTCCTGCCACTGTTAATCTGTCACTTTGCAGTTATGCTCATGACTGATATGGTAAACAGTGCATTAGCTGGTCCATGTTGTTCACAGTGTTGAAAGAAATGCTTTTCTTAAATTGGTATCATTTTGTTATTGGGAGAAAACGAAAGGGGCTCCATGTTCCTATTAAATGAAGCAGCAGAGAGACAGGTATTTATGCAAGTTTGATTCTGTAATAATTATTTTATAATCTAGTAGAACTGTGTTGAGTGGATCACTTGTCACCATAGCATGGAGCATCTTGAGGTTGCAGTTTGAGGAGACATGAATCTTAGCTGCAAATGTAATGACTAAGCAGTTATGGAAAGCTGTCATGGGGTTATACTCCAGCTTGGAGTTTGGACAGGGAGCTAACAACTCCTCACCCCAAAGAAGCAGCCTGTTGGGAGATCCTAAACAAGACCTTGGCCTTTAAATGGGTTCTTTGGAATGACGTAAGCAATGGAAAATGGATGTGACATTTGGAACTTGGAATGTTAAGAGTTTCTGTGTGCCAGTTCACTGAAAACAATGATATGAGTTAGATTTAGTGGGAGTGCAGAAGGTCAGATGGAAAAAGGGTTGCATGGAACCAGCAGACAGTCACACATTTTTTTGATGGAATGGGAATGATAGTCCTCCCTTAATGACAGGATTTTTTTATTCATAAGACATTCATATTACCACTTAAGAAATTAGAATTTGGTAGTAATAGGATATCACATGCAATTCTGAGGAGTTGTTTGTATGTTGTTATTGCTTGACAGCACATACCATAACTGAAGCTAAAGGTGATGATACAAAAGACAACTTTTAAGAGGAACTGCAGCATGTGTTTGATCAATTCTTTAAGTACCACATGAAAATTTTGTTAGGACATATTAATGTTAAAGTAGAGGAAGAAAATATTGTGACATGTTGAGCTATGGATGATGCCCCTCCCCCCACCGCCAGCCGAAGTTAACCGAGTCCCAGCATCCTGGTCGCTATGCAATGCGAGTCAACAGCAATGACATCACCAAGGGGTACCGCGGTTGCTATGCAGCGCGGGTAAACAGTGGTTGCTAGAGATGTTGGTAGTAACAGCAGTACACGGCGTTGCTAGCACGGCGGCACCAGACATAGTGGTGCCTATTACGTGGCCGTTTTCTGTATTGTCCGATCGAGGCTACATAAGGAGCAGCGAAGGCTATTCACAGTTAGTCCTCGAGCTACCTCCGAGTTAGTTCCGAGTTAGCCAGCAACCAGTCAGTTGTATTGTGGCATTTGGAGTGTAGTATTTGTGATACTGCAGATAGCAGTAGTTCTAAAACTGTCAATTGTGTGATTAAGTGTGAATGTGCAATAAAATTCGCTATATCAAATACGGCGTGAAGTTATTTGTCGCGTTATACGCCCAATACGCGACAACATTTTCAGACCAGCAGTGAGTTTTTTTTTAAGATGGCAGTAGTTGTATTCTTCTTTTCTCTCTCTGACCTAAATGCAGAATGTTTTATGTTCAACTTTTGTGGATATGCTTTTATGTTCTTGACAAGAGTTCTCAGCATCACCATTTCCCTGTTTGCTTTTTATGTATTACGTGCACATAGCGCATAAAATGAACATTGTAGTGGAGAATTCATATGTTCAGATGATTCAGTGCTAAAACTTCTCATTAGATATCTATGAAATTGGTGTTCTGCACTAAACGTTGTGGGGTGAATTTAATTTTGGTCCTCACTTGTTAACTATAAACCTAATGAAGCTGTTATTTTTCTCATAAATGGCTTATGTTAGAAAAAGCTGGAATGTGACATTTTATTATACTCCCTATTAAAATTAAAATGTTTTAGTTGAAACATTTTTGTATAATGTAAACATGAAAATTACAGTTGTCTGATTACAGTTTGGTACATGTGTATTCTTTCCACAGCCCAGTACTTAGTGACATGCTATATGAATCAGAATTTGAGTCACAGCTCTGGATGCTGTTTGACCGCAACAAACAGCTGCTTGCAGCAGGAGATGCTTATCCTAGTAAAGTAAGTATGAAATTCGGGCTGCTCCATAGCAGCAGTGAGTAGTCATTGGCTTCCCACCGCGGTGGCCCGGGTTCAATCCCGGGTGTGGTCAAGTGGGATTTGTGGTGGACAAAGTGGCGCTGGGGTAGGTTTTCTCTGAGAGCTTTGGTTTCCCCTGCCAATCTTCATTCCACCAATTGCTCCACAATCACCCTCACCTATCATCTGGGGCTGGAACAATAGGCCAGAAGTGGCCTCAGCACAAGGGGCTTAGTTCCACCTCGCTAGTAATAAAAAAAAAGTATGAAATTCTCTTTACTGCCACACTGTAAAGGTGCAGTGTTTTACTATCATGTTGTAGCATGTAGAGCCCTTGCTGGGTAGCAACCTCAAAACAGACGATAAAAGAACGAAATCTGCTAGGCAACAGATTTTTAATAAGCAAGAATAGATGGCTACTGCTAGGGAGCTGCTAGGTAAACACATTCCCGTGGCAGCGGATCTGCATGCAACAATAGAGGAACTCTTGGAAACAGTGTTTTCTGCGTCGTCCATGCAAAGGGGTTATATAACAAGGACACAGCCAGAAAATATAGGAGGCTTAAACTTGGTGGTGGTAAAGCTTAAGACCGTTCAAGTGACTCAGCTGCCATTGTACGTAGGTTGTACTGAAAGTCATGAGCAACTTTTTTTTGCATGCAACCTGGGAACAGCAGACGAAAGAGAGTACGGTGGTAGGTGGAACCAGCTGTTGTGTTAACGTTGAGTGTCTTGTGACATCAATAGCTTGCATCACGTGACCAGTATCACTCCTAACAAAATGGCCGACAATGATATGTCGTTTCGCCAGCATGCTGTCATCGAATTTCTTGTGAAAGAGGAAATCCCTGTGCAGAAATTCACCAGAGACTTCAGCGTGCTTATGGAAGTGTGTGCATGGGTGCGAGCAGTGTTCGAAGATGGGTGAAACATTTTGAAGATGGGAACACCAGCATTGAAGATGAGCCTCGGAGCGGTCATCCTCGAACAGCCTCAACTGAACGCAACAAGGAAAGAGTGGATGAGATCATTCAAGATGACATTCGTGTGACTGTGGAAAGCATAGACCGAAAACTTGGAATAGGGCACAGTGCAGTACAGGAGATGATTGAAAGCTTGGACTATAGGAAAGTTTGTGCTCATTGGGTCCCACGTTTATTGACCGAAGACCACATAGGTCAGCAAAAAGCCATCAACTCAGAACTGCTGCAGAGATTTTGACACGAAGGCGATGATTTTTTGCTCTGTATTGTGACAGGTGATGAAAGCTGGTTTTACCATTTCGAGCTTGAAACAAAATGGCAGAGTATGGAATGGCACCATTTGCATTCTCCATCAAAAAAAGAAGGCAACGACAGTGCCATCAGGTGCTAAGGTGATGGGCACAGTCTTCTGGGATGCAGAGGGGTTTATTCTGGCCGAATTCCTGGAACCTGGGCAAAGCATCAGTGGTGCTCATTATGTCCAGACGCTGCACAAACTCTGTCGTGCATTGCGCGATAAACTTCCAGGGTGAAACATCATCATCCTGCATGACAACGCTTGCCTCCACGCTGCTGGTCTCACATTGGAAGCAATTGCAAAGATGGGGTGGGAAGTTCTTCCACACCCCTCCTATAGCCCTGATCTGGCACGCTCCGACTACCATCTTTTTGGATTTGTGAAGGATCAGCTGCATGGAAAACGTGTTGAGACAAAGGAGGCAATTCAGAAAGCAGTGCGTCAGTGTCTTCGGATGCCTGGAATGGAATTTTACAGAAGGGGAATTTTCAAACTCCCAGAACGCTGGGAGAAATGTGTACAAAGAAAGGTCTGTAGATTGAGGTGGTGTGTTTGGTTTGTCAATAATAAAACATGTTACTTTACAAAAAGTTGTTGCTCATGACTTTCAGTACGACCCTCATAGCATAAGACACGTAAGATAGGCATGATCTGCTTTGCAAAGCATGGACTGACAAAGGACTTGTATATAGTGCAAAAGGGAGAATTTTCAATGACACGCTGTATGTGCGATACATACACTTGAAAGAAGGTCAAGCATATTCATAAGAGACAAACCCATCCTCTTTTCAGAGAGGGTATTAGATAAGGACTGGCGGCAAGGGTTCAGTTGAAAGAATAATCTTTGGTCGTCAGTCTCAAGGGGCTTGGTGCCAAGAAGAATGAATGTAAATCACCAATTATAAAGTAACTTTGACTTTGGGAGCTCAGTGCTCAGTTGAAAGTCAGGCAGTGAGGAGAAGACTACGTGTTGTATGATTTGTAGTGTGTAATTCACCGAGACCGTTATAGTTACTGTGTTAAAATCCATCTCTAGGAGGTGCCTAGTGAAAACAGACTGAGAAGACTTGGTATGTACTGGAGTGATTAGTAAAGTGTGTAAATCACTGATAATATTATAATTAATTGTAGTTACGACTTGTAAGTGGTCAGTAAATCCAATATCCAATCAAAACCCCCATCAAGAGTCACTCTAAATTGTAGCAATATGTTATTTTAAGATTTTGGTCATCTGGATTGTGACATCATTTCAGGTGTACCTGCTGCCTCCATCTTCAAGGTAGAACATTGTGAGATAAATTCTGATCCTTTTATATTTCAGTTGAAAATTCAACACCTGATAATGCAGTAGCCTCCCATTGGGTCTGATCTTTCACCAACTTAATCTAGTTCACATAATCAGAACCTGTCTTGTTTCCTTCAAGTTCACTGAGCAAGTTTGTATAGTAAGAACACTTCAGACTTGCATTCTGGAGGTATCCAGGTGACCTTCAGTCCTGACTGAGATTTTGTAGATTTCCTTAGTCTCTTCAGGTGAACACCAAAGTAGTACCTTCACATAGGCCATGACTGCCTTCTTCAGATATATTATCTACCAGACACCCATCATCTTCCTATTTCATTCGTTGATGCATAGAGTCTGCATTAAAAGCAGCATCATTAAATAATCTAAGAATTAATCTCCCTGATCTTTCAGGTGGCTGCTTTTCAGAAATTGTAGCACCCACACCTTGAACTTTATATGTGTTTCTTGTTTCCACAGTCCATGTTATATGCCCATCCAAATGTAAATCTTTAATTTGAGCAGCATCTGACAGGTACCCAATTTCCACAGTCCTTTGTACAGCCTTGAAACAGGCCAGCTTATTCCTCATAGTTTTCTGCTTGCTCACAAATGATTCTATTATTTATCATGTGTCACTACACAAGCTTGCGGCCATTAAAATAAATTGCACTTCTCTATCTCTCATATACAACTACTTTGAGAGTGAGAGTGATAGATGAACTGCAAGAATAGATGTATGGTGCATATGTTTGTAGGTATATTTTTGAAATTTCAGGGTGTAGACCCTAGTAATATTTATTTTTGGTAGTACATGGTGAAAGTTGAGAAAGGAGACTATGTCTTGAAGCTCCATGTCCGTCATGAGAGAAAGGATCTGCTAGACAAGATGCTAGACCAGCCCCTGCTTCTAAGTCATAAATTGCCTGCTGCACTTTCTCTGGATGTATATGGCAGCCAGACACAGGCAACAACATGTGGCAAGAAACTGGAACGGGCAACCATTCTCCAGGGTCAGATTATGCCTATCTACATAACACCACTTGCAGATGATGCGTAAGTACATGAACTCTATTAACAAATTGAGGCCCGATGTCCTGGCTTGTGTCAGGTTTCTGTAATTCTTTCTTCATAATTATTGTCTGCAGCTGAACCCTTTTCTTTCACCAGCTGACCTCTAATGGTTCACTCAGATTATCATGTACATGTGTTTGAGGAATTACTTGTTAACAGTGATTCTGATCTAGATAGAAGTAACCACGGTAATAGTGTGTTTCGTCGTGTAATACTGGAATTGATACTGATGACATAAGCAATTTTTTGAGACTGGCAGCAAACACTGAACACTGTTTCTAAAATTACAGAATTATTAAAGATACATAAATTTCTTTGGAGCCAGGATGGTGTAGTCGGTATAGCGACTGGCGACGCAGTGGGTAAATAAAGGGGGTTAGAGTTCGAGTCCCAATAGGTTCAAGAATTTTCTCTTCTCCAAGTCATCCAGAATGGCTCTGGGTCCCATGCAGCCTTGTGTCCAATGCGTACCGGGGGCTCTTTCCCCAGGGTTAAAGCGGCAGGGGCATGAAACTGACCATTCAACTCCAGCTACTGCCGAGGTCAGGAAGATGTGGCTCTATACATCCACCCCCCCCCATATGCCTTCATGGCATAGTGCTTAATTAATTAATTAAGCACAGGAACAACTTTGCCTTTTGTTACATAAATTTCTTTAATATCATAGATAATTTTATGTGACTGTGAGAGTATGAATCAGTTTCTTTCTTCAGAAAGAAACACCACAAACACAGGATGATACCAAGAATCTCCTTCTCAAGATAGGCATGCTGTGTGAAAACAACACAGCACGCCATGAACAAACACAGGACGATACCAAGAATCTCCTTCTCAAGATAGACAGGCAGCACAAGTTCATCCCCCATCAAGAAAGACGATAGGAGAAGGGACACGAACCTACTTGGTTTATAAATTTTAACTTAAACAACAAAGTTTTAAAAACTTTAATATACCAGGAAAGCTGCTGTAGTTGTGGAAAAGCTGGATTTTGTGTATATTGTGCATTGCAGGCATTGTGTGTGTATGTATTTTAGCACTCAGAACACCCATTGTGATAGTGGTTTCCAAAAAAGTATCGATGTTCCCTCTGATGGTGGTCTATAAGGGCTGAAACATGTAAGGGTGCTAAGTTTTCAAGTAGTAAAAACTTAACAGTCACACTGGACGGAGTTGTTTTGACTCTGTAATTGTTAGTGTGACGGACCAGAATGAAGCAAATAAAAAAAAAATAGGTTGGGATGCTTTGGTTGAAATATGTTAAGCTACACAACCTTGGTTATTTAGACTTATGCAGCCAATAGTTTGCACTTGTTTATTGTTATCTTTATAAACCAATGAGGGTCTTTAGTTCTGTAGTAACAATAGTTGTAATTTGATGGGAGTTCAGTTGATCAATATTAGCCTTTTTTCTACTGACAGGGACTCTTGAATAATTCATTAATCAATTATGCACTTAATTCCTTCCTTTTGCTTTCCTTCGCAGCTTTATGTTTGAAGATTGTGTGATATTCCTGCATATTCAGCAGCATTTATGGATTTTTTTTTTATATGTCATCATATTCAAATAATATACCTTACAGTTGAAATGTAATCATATTATTATTTTTATTATTATTATTTTTATTCTGAATTTCAGATCTGGTAAAGGAACAACATTGGGGCATTTCTTAACTGGAACAATAACTTATTCCAAGGATGAGATTGGGAAAAAAGTGGTGAGTTTAATTTTTTTTTGGAAAATGTGGCAGGCTATGGTCAGATGTCTGTATAGTAAAATTCAGTGTAATAGTCTGTGGGTGTGAAATTTTATATCCTACTTTCAAAGATTGACAGTATCTGATGAGAAAAGAGTCCATTAAACTTCCAGATATCTGGTATCCATGCAACCAGAATTCTCATACAACCAGCAAAAATTTCAAGGAGAAATTTACTATTTTAATAAAGTTACTTCAGAGAAGTTGTGATGCACATTTATTCACCCGTCATGTTGTAGCTTTCTTGTCTTCCGCTAGCATCACTGCCTGCCCTCCCTAATGCAGCTATGCACAGGTTCCATTGCAGTAGAGGCTACTTGAATTTGTGGTCATGTTACAGTATATCTGAAATGTTTCGCTCATCAATCCACTCTGTTGCCTAGGAAGACTCTCACAAAAGAATTAAAATGAAAACATGTTGTTTTTACTCTATATTATGTTTTTGAAGGCATTTTTCTCATAGAATCAGCAGGTTCATTTAACTGACACCTCATTCCCCATATCTACCTGATAACTGGGATTTTGCTATATTGAGGGACATATATGATTCAGAAGAACATTATGTAATGCGAATCTTCACAATTTATATATAACTGCCTAACGTTGTGAGAGTGATCAGGTCAAGAGGGCTGCGATGGTTGAAACATGGAATACACACAAAATTTTGTTTAGAAAACAGCAAAGATTAGAATAGATCCCTGAAAAATATTTTATAAAGCTATGAATATAATTGAAATAGCTGAGGATATATCTAATAATGGTAAGTATGGTGATTAACCTTGATGTCCCATGGAATGTCATGACTGTAAACAGCTCATGATTGTATATGATCGAGATGGTCATAGATAATGTGTCAAATGGGCCGTTTCTATAACTAGAGGAATGTCTGTAAACAGTCTCATGGCAACAGATGCAGGCAACAATAGAAGAACGGCCATTTCTATGTGACGGCCTCTATACACCCCCCCCCCTTAAGAACATGATGACAGTATAGGGGAAACTGTGTTTTCTATGCGGTCTATGCCAAGAAAATGCATGGAATAGCAGGACATGTGTTGCTAGGCAGCAAAGCTGTAAACACGAGTCCTTAACAAAAGTTAAGTCGGCCTGTTCTCAATAGGTGATAGCCACAGGAAGTTCATAGTTGAAGAAGAACAAGAAGTTGGCCAATGACAACCTAATATGTGATCTGAAGACTTTATATGTGCTGTAATGCAATGATATCTAGAGTATGACAGAGTTCCTGTGTTAAAATCCATTGCCAGGAAATGGATAAGGAAAACTTTGCAGAGGATTAGTCATTGTTTAGAACTGTTACCTAGCAACGACTAGTTAAAGCAGGTATAGAAGACTTTATTTATATGTTATAATTACAGTAATCTTGGAAGTGTTATAATTATTTGTAGTTATGACCATTGAATATCCATTAAATCAACTCACTGCTTCAAACCTGTGACTTTAGTTACTATTACATGTGACAGTATTAATAAAACCTGAATAGTCATGGAAGAATGTGTATAGATTTGAGCCCTTCAAACAAGGTGTTTCTCATGACTTCTTGTTAACACTTTTACTCCCACATCCGACCGGCAGTTGGGTAAGTGGTCCTATATATAGGGGCCTGTTTGACTTAGGTGAGATAACAACATGCATGAACGTTACTCATTCAAACAATGATTATATACCATAGTTGGTCACTATATACATAGATCAGTATTTCCTTGGCCTGGAATCTCATGTGTCACTTATTCCCCATATCCTTTTATCGTTTCAATAAGTACACAGTTCAACAGTGTGTCTGCTCACATCTCATAGTGTAACACATTATTGTGAGCAAGAAGATATTTAGTGGTGATCGTATAATGGCAGTGTTGTTTAATGAAGATTCAGTAGATGATTCAGTTCCGGAATCTGATTATAATGAATCAAGAGTTGGTGAAAGGACTAAATCTCCAGAAATTGCCATGACACGTGACATTGAAGTTGAGGCCACACCCATATCAGAACTGAAAAAATGTTGGGAGCGCATATTTGTGATGGATAATTACTCCACCGACTCTCGAACTCTGTCATTCTGAAGATCCTGTTTTTGAAACAATGGCCTGAACAGTTTTGAACGTATTTGGTCATTTTTCCACTTCAGTGACAGTATGTATGACACCAATAATCAATTAATTCCTTCTGACCATTTGTAAAATCAAATCAAGAAGTAAAGATGGGATATCTGGACTTCATGAAAATGTGTCCCATACCTTCTGGGAAGTGAAAAGGAATTACCCAATGTTCCTTCATCACTTGAATGTGCGGAATTAGATTCTGCATCATCATCGCCAATGCGTCCTCCAGATATTTGCCGCCAAAAAAAGCCCCTGCAAGAGACCCGTATTTGGCTAGATGGCGAGACAAAGGATCATGTTTTGCTGAAATTCTAGCAGAGAGGAGTGGCACCTGTCTGACAAGAAGATTCATTCATTCATCAGTAATCTTTCAAGATGACAGGTCCACAGTCTCCTCCAAAACAGTTCCTCCACTTGATGCGATCTAGAGCTTTCTCCTTCAAATGAAACATCTCGCATACATGGTGTATCCAGGAAAAGTGATAATGTGGTAGTTTTTCCATTTGCTTTCCACATCGCAGTACAACAGCCGTTCAAACCACTCTGGTCACGCCTGTTGCTATACGAACTTGAACCATCTCGAGCATTATTTACTCTGTGCTTCAAGTCGCTGCTGATGACGCTGCTTCCGGCATCAGTTTTTGGTGTCTCTCTTCGTCTGATGCCTACCCTTTGACCTGTCCAGCAAGGGAGGCCCTGCCAGTAGCTACGCTACCGCTGGTATAGCTCTCAGGGTCCTTGGCATACTCAAACCCCCTCACCACGATAAGGTGGAGCCACCAACGAGGGGGGACAAGAAGATGTAGAGTTTGTTTAAAATAATAATAGTGAAACTAGCTGGCAATATTGAAAGTGTACATTCTTCTGCATCCTGGGAAATGTGATCCCAGGTACCACACTCTCAGAGTGTACTAGAACATCTCCAGAAGGTATGTACAAAGTTTCAAATTCCTTTGTGTCGTAGTTTACGAGTAGACTTTTTCTGGATTTTGCTGAACAGTGAATGCATTAAGAGTACCCTGACATTTGAAAACCCTGGCCTGGGCAATTAAATTGCCCACTGAGAGGCTGGCAGAGGACATAGTGATTAACAAATTTGTTTCCCGTTTTAATTTATTCTATTTTGATATGGATAAAAGTTGTTGGCTTCTTTGCTGGATTATGAGCTGAGCTTATGTGAGCTTTTGCAAGCTCCAGTGAACATAGCAATCTTCAGACTCCATTTTAGTGGGGAATATCTTGACAAGCTGAACAGCTACCAACCTTTCAAGGAAGACCCTGCACTGTGTGGTTGATTAGGTACTTAAAATGCTTTTCCACTAAATTTGAAATGTCTTTGTACTCTGCAGGATGTGTATCCATTCAAATATGTGTTGCCTGAATCTCCCAAGAAGACTTCTAAGTCATCAGATATGAAAGATAAGGAGAAGACAAAATGGGAAGAATACAATGAAGTAATCAGGGACCTGAAAATTAGTTGGCTTGCCAAGCTCGGTGAGTCTAATCAGATTAGCATCACACTGTCTTTCTAGGTATGTCCATCAAATGTATATGTGGACCGCTTCATATTGTAGCATTTAGACCAGTTAATAAGTAATGACTCTGTAAACAATGCCCATTGCTAGGCAGCATATTCCTAACATGCACAAGTGGACTGACTGGAAAGAGATGTTTTCTACATGGTCCATGTGACAGCTGCATGATGTAACAATAGAACTTGAAAGTGGTGTTTTCTATGTGGTCTGTGCCAAGGTGTTATAAGCAGGACAAGTCTAGAATTCAGTCTGTTGTGAGACATCCGCCAGCCAGTAAGAACATGAACATGGAAGTTTAAGATGCTATGGTGTTGGAAGCCATTACCAATCAATAACTGATGAAAATACAATGGACTGAGAAGACTTAATATGTGCTTTAATGAATTGTTGAGCATGTAAATTAGCGATAGCCCTATAGTTACTTGTACAGTCAACTCTCGATTATTCGGGGACGGATTAACCAGTTTGCGGCTTAACCGGGGCTACTGAGCCTTTTTTGAGACTTATATGTTCTTTAATATTCATTCACTTTTGTTTCACATGGCGAGTTGTAACACTATTTTCTCACTAGTGTGAACCGAGCTCTGCATTCTTTGGTCCCGTTATGCTAACACAATGTTCTAGGGTAGGGGTGAAAGAACGCAAGGATTTGTGGAAAGTTTCAAGGACAGATACATCGCCCCAGTTAGTATCTTTGTATCGATCTTCAAGTGCGTTAGCAAAATGTCAGGGTGTAAAAGGAAGCGTGTTGTGTTAAGTATTCAACAGAAAAAGGAAAATGCCGCGAAAAAGTAAATGACAATATTAAATTTTTTTAAGTGTTAATATTCGTAAAAAGTGTTGGATGTTGTTGAAGACTGTGATTGAAATAACTAATTCATACTTCAGTGTAATGTAAGAAAAGTATTAAATAGGCCATGAGATGACATAAAAATGAGGTTGAATAAATTTAAATACAGGCAGGCGTATAGTATTATGAAGGTACAGTTTTACAGTACTACTTTTAATAAAATTTGTCTTAACCAGGTTTTCGATTAATCGTGATTTCCATCCCCACCATTATCCCGGATAATCGAGCGTTGACTGTAATTACATTCTGTAAGTGTTTAATAAATCCAGTTACCAATCCAGACTCCATCTATAGTCACTACATACACATGACAATATTTTATCATGTCCAGTTTTCAGCATGTCACTTCACAGTATAGTAGTTAGTTTTGCTCAATACAGATACCGCTCAGTCTATGTGGGTTGCTAAACTACACTTCATTTTAATGGAGCTAAGTAATTTAGGCCAACTAGCACCACTGTATTGCTTCCCGGCATATTGAGAGAGGTAAGGAGAACGAGTTAGTAGATTGTTGTATGCATGACACAGGAGGAATACAGGGGTAGATAGGAAAATTTTGTCCTCTATAACCCCTTTTGTGGAAGAGGAGCATAAAGGTTGAACTGCCATTGCAGTTAAGAAAGGGATTCCTCACACTTGTCTTGACTTACCTCCTCTGCTATCAGTAGGAGCAACAGGAGTCTGCATACTGAACTGCACACTGAAATGTTCCATGCAGCTGTTTATAAATCTCCACAAAGACTGGAGTGACAAGGCCATCACAGAGCTATTAGGTTTTAGAAATAAGTCCATCCTAGCAGGTGACCTGAAAGCAGAGCTCCCTGTTTGGAATAGTAAATTTTCAGACCCCTCAGGCTTGAAGCTCTTTGAATTATTTGTTAGTTCTAATTTCTAAATTTCAGCTCCACAATGCTCTGCGCGTTACACATTTGATGGTAGAGGTGTTCTCGACATTGTAGTATATCAGAACATCCAACTCTCAGAGGTTATTATCACTGACATCCTAGACTCAGACTACTTACCAGTAATGTTTAGCATTCTGGACCCTGTTAGAATGAGGCAAGCTTTAGATCCAATTGAAAATTTGACAGACTTGGAGCTATTTCAGAGCCTCACCTCTGAACTCCAAATATCCTAATTTTCTTCTAATGTAGCTGAAAAAGCAGCACATGACTTTTCAATCTCTATAGCCTGAGCATTCACGCTATTGACTAGAAAAAACTACAATTTCACACTGGAAATGCGAAATACCTGGCCTAGATCTATTATTAGAACATAAGAGAAAGCTCAGAAAATTATGGCAAGAAACTATGGATCTATCTTACAAAACATCAGTAAACCTGGTCACTCGAAATACAAGGCGAATGATCGGGAAAGGAGCACTTGAAAGATTGAAACAAAGTTGGCAATCTATGACATTATACCTGAAGCCTACTGCAAAATCCCTCACAAAGAGGGGTGAACCAAAGTCATGACCTGCAATTCATGGATCCTTAGGCCCCATAATTTATCCAGTCGATAAAGCCAACATAACTGCAGACTGCTTAGGAAACCGGTTCAGAGCGCATAAGTTGTGATTGTGACCATAAACAACATGTGGAGACTCAAGTAGAAGTCTTACTGGCAACCGTCGATGAAGACATACCTGTTAATTTCCAACCCTGTGACATCTTAAAAGAAGTCCTTTAAATCAGGAAAGACCTATGAATTTTATGGCATTCCAAATGAATATCTCTGGCATTTTCCAAGACCTCTTGTTCGTTTAACATATTTATTCAGTCACTCCCTATGGCTTGGTCACATCCCAACACCTTCAAAAGAGGCAAAAATCCTAACTCTACCGAAACCCAGCAAAGTGTTTCTATGTTTATTTCATATATAGGATATGTATCCTGTGGTGTAGTGTCTTTACTTAGTTTTACAATCCTGTGGTTACTTTTGTGAATACCCCTTAACTCAGTTATAGTGGACGTTGGTGATAATAGACATGCTGTCCCCCCTGTAAGTCCATTATAACATGTACATCAACGCTTCCTGAATTTAGCATCTTGTTTTTAGAATTCAGCGTTTGGTCATCAAAGTAAAGTGAAAGTACAGAGGCAACAGTCAGTAATATCTTTTGAAACTGAGCCATCAGCAGTCAAAGCCAAAAACTTTTAACAGTGCCATAAATGCACTGAAGAAACATTACCTTGCCTCATGACACTTTGTTAAGCCTTGTAACAGATTTAAATACATGGCATGCACTGCCATTATACAGACCAATCAGGGCTGTGGGTGGCCCAGCACAACTACATGAAAAACTGAGCCAGGTTTGAATGAAATTTATTATATGATAAAATTTGGAAGTGGAATTGAAGTGCAAAGTACTTATACAACGTGGTTCAAATATGACCGAGACTGATTTGTGTGTGAACAAACCACACTGTGCAACAGCTGTGTGACCTTGAGAGAGTGAAGCCACAACCTCCACTCTCTCCTGTTCGGGTTAGGACCTGTTCAGTCCTGTCTGGGAGTTGCTAGAGTGATGAGCGAACAGAAGGTACCGCGGAGCGTGGAACAACGCTTTGTGATCAAATTCCTCGTTGGAGAAAACTTCCTGTCCGCTGAAATTCACCAGAGCCTCCAACAACAGTATGGGGAAGAGTGTCTCTCATGGACCCGTGTGTTTGAGTGGTGCAGGTGCCTCAGAGAGATCAGAGAGCGCAATGAACTGCATGATCGTCGGCTGCGAACATCCGTCACCGAGCCAAACATTAATCGTGCAGACACGCTTATTAGTGAGAATAGGCGCATCACTATCAAGGAACTTGGAACAATGCTGTCCATCAGTGTTGGTAGTGTAGAAGACATTGTGAAATACCACCTGCACTATCGCAAGGTGAATGCATGGTGGGTACCACCCACTTTGACGGATGTGAACAAAATGGTGTGCATGCAAGCTGCCAGTCATCTGCTATGGCAGTTTGAAGACGAAGGTGATGCATTTTTGAAGTCTGTAGTGATCACTGATGAAACATGGGTGCACTACTTCATTCCCAAGTCCCAGCAGTCATCACGCGAGTGGTGGCATACCAGTTCTCCCAAACCCAAGAGAGCGCAGAGGAGCCATTCGGCAGGAAAAGTGATGGCAACGTTCTTCTGAGACTGGCAGGTGGTTATCGTTGTAGACTTTCTGACAGATGCCAGAACAGTCGATGCAGCTTATTACTCAGACCTCCTGGAAACAGATGTGAAGCGAAAGACAGGTGGAAAGCAGGTAGGCTTCCTTCAAGACAATACATGCCCCCATAGGGCCAAAAGAACAATGGAAACCCTCCGGAAATTGAAATGGAACCTTCTGCCGTACAGTTCCGATTTGGCCCCAAGTAATTTCTACCTGTTCGGAGGGCTCAAATGAGACTTGCAAGGCATGCAGTTTGTGAACGATGCCATCATGCAGACTGTTCGGGAGTGGATACGCTGCCAACCACAAGTCTTTTTCGAAAAGGGCATCAGGATGCTTCCAGAACGTTGGAAAAAATGTGTAGACTCCGGAGGGGAGTACGTTGAAGACTGACATGTGCAAGTAAGTGTTTGGCAATTATGGTTTAAAAAAAAATCAGTCCCGGTCGTATTTGAACCACCTTGTATTAATAATACTCTTTCTAATGATGTATTTTAGACTGTCAGTACAACATAAATAAGTATCTTCCATAAGAAGATAAAATAAATATGATTGTATCACTTGTTTATTATGTACAGGAGTATGCTACATGTTTTGACCTATTTATAGGTCATCATCAGGCATGTTCCACAAGAACACAAACCAAGTTTCTTGAATTTGGTTGTCCTATTATGGATCCATGTAGTAGTTGTTATTATCTAGCAAATACACCTTTGGACAGTGTAAACAAATATATATGCAAAGTCTTGATGTTACATGGTTGTTATTAATGGTTAAAACTTCTTATATTATTGATTAATAAAATTTGTTGTTTATTTGTTAACATAATGTGTCATGAAAATTGGTGTAAAAGTTGAAGAGTTTCGTTAAAAAGTTAAAAGAGTTTGTAAGTTACAATCATGTTGAATTAAATGTTTAGTTTCTAGTAGATTTCCATAGAAATGATCATGGAATTGTACTGGGACTAAACACAGTTTTTGTTAGATAGACTTGAAAGGATTCTGACGATGGTGTATACTGTACTTCTTTTGGCTTATTTTGGACTTCACCCATCGTCCGGTATATAAAAAGACAAAAAACCACAACGTTTCGGAGACTGGATCTGTCTCCGTCTTTCCAGTGATTGAGACTAGCTCTTTCTAAGGGGCCCAACTGAGTAGGTTAAACCTTCCCTATACACCTGAAGACGGAGACAGATCCAGTCTCCGAAACGTTGTGGTTTTTTGTCTTTTTATATACCGGACGATGGGTGAAGTCCAAAATAAGCCAAAAGAAGTACAGTTTTTGTTGTTGTCTTGGAATCATAGTAGTTTGTGGATCTCATGCCAATGTTCTGTGTAGGGGTCCTTGTACCTTCTGTAGCTTATTATGGCTAGTTGGCTGTAAATGGTTATGCTCTTTTCTTATTGTACATGCTGACTGATGAGATAATGTCAGTAGTCACATACATAATTTTCTGTTACACAACTATGTCATTAACTCCATTTCAATGTTAAAGTTAATTTGCACTATCACAATTTTTTGTTTAATATGGATTTACTACAGTTGCAGTTAAAAAGAACAGTACTTAATATTCATCATTATTATGTACTGACAGAACCAGATGAGCAGGCTGTTGCCCTGTATGAAGAACTGAAGAGATTGCACCCTGATCACATCGTAGTACATGTCGCCATGCTTCAGTGTTTGGAGCCAAATGAGCCAAAGAAACGGCTCCCCTTCACGGAAAATGTGGATGTATCTGACAATTCGGTCATTGCCATGGCCAATCGGATCATTGACTTAGCAGATACAATCATAAGCAAAGTTGATCAGACTCATGTGCTTGCTTATTTTGGTACAAAGGTTGATTATGAACCTGATGCATCCAAGACTAAAACGTAAGTACCTCCTTCATGAGGACAGAGAGTTGGAGGCCAAGTATGAAATTTAAGTGTCACATATATGGGGACAAAGTGCTGTGGAAAATAGCCCATAAGCACAATCTTCATCGGACAGTTATCTAAAGAAAGACTGCCAAAGAGAGTACTAGAACCTAGGAGAGATGAAGTAGTAACAGAATGAATATTTGGTTACAAGGAATTCTCTATTTGTATTCTTCACTTGTTAGTGTTAAGGGAATCATTGCAAGTAGTTTCTATAATCTGATTACTGAATTTTTCAGTCTTATAGAAACAAAGTATGAAATATTGATTTGTTTTCTCTTAGGGTAATGGAACAGCAGAAGGTAGCACTTGTGGAAGCATTATCCAGGAAGGGTTCAGCTATGTGTCGTATTTATACCGTTACCAATGCAACACACAGTAAGGGAGAAGATGGTAATGCACAGGAACAGCTTTGTACTTCAACTGCCTCTACAGTTTCCCTTGACAGTATTGATAAAGTGTGGAGAGATGTGCTCAGAATCACAGATACAAATGACGCTAAGGTTTGTGGTTCATTTTATGTCTGAGTTTAAAACTGTCAAAGACTATTAAAAATATTAGTATTTATTCAACCCTGTTACTGAACCTTTGTCTTAAACCCTAGTAATTATCAGTATTCTGATTAATATAAATGAAATACATTTCATGTGGGACACATCTTATCTTTTAGTTTACGAATTTGCATAGTTCAAATGCTGTCCTAAAATATGTCAATACCAGTGACAAAATAAACCCAGAACTCTCGGTTGTCACACAAAGACCAGGTGGCCAGTCGGATCATAACATGATTCCATGCCAGAAGCAGATACAAGTATTAGCAATAAAACTGTTGAACTGTTAAGATATAAAGAGTGTGTATATGATTAATCTGTTGCAGAATTTTGCAGTGTCAAATTCTTGATTTTGTATGTACACATGCACACACCTATGTGCGCATGCACAGGGCAAGTTTATGTCTATAGAGAGGTCTTGATAAATATGCTCATGATTTTTGGTGTGACCTACCTATTTATAGCACTGACAGTGCTAATTATTAGGGTAAAGAAACTTGCTGCTAAAGAGTGCTGTCCACTGATCTTAACACCAATATCTGCACAAACAGTGGCCTGAAATAGGAACAGGGGAAACTGGACTGTACACAGTTCGACTTCTTCTTGAGGAAGTCATCTATATTTTTAATAAAAAATGAAAGAAAAAAAACTTTTCCAAAACTTCTACATGTTGTCCCAGAAATAAATACAGAAAACTGGAGGGAGACTACTATTGCTCCAAAACAATGAAAATAGTCTATATAAACACAGATTCAGAAATTCTTTGATAATGAACTAGAGCCATTGGAAAGTGTTCAAGTAACAGTAGGATTTATTTATTTATTTATTTATTTGCTTCATACCCATGGATCATTATACGTGATATAGGACAAGTCAAATACTTTACAATAATAAAATAATAATAACCTCAAGACCCAACCCTTCTGTCCCAGCACAAAATACTCTGGTATCCTCGATCTCGTTCCTGTAAGAAAAGAATACAGAGTAGGGCAGTAGGCATTCCTATAACATTACTAATATTAAAATCTACAAGTTAATTATCCTTGAAATGTATGTTTACAAGTGATTAGAACTAGGATTTTCCCCCAAACAAGAGAAACTCATCTATACTATAGAAACAATGATCAAGTAGGAATGTTTTCAAAGTCTTTTTAAACTTGTATAGTACTGGTATCTCTTTAATATATTGTAGCAACTGATTTAACAAAGTCCAATATTATTGAAATTGTTTTTGTATAGACTCGTATTACATGGCACTATTAACAAGTCCTCTTTTCTCCTTGTATTGTGCGAGTGTATTCCTGAATTGGTTATGAAAACATTCAAATTGGTCTTTATGTAAACTAGAATTTCATATATATACAGACATGGTAAAGGTAATACATGTAACGATTTAAAATATTGTTTACAACTAATGGTTTTCGGGATTTGTATCATAGCTCTAATAGCTCTCTTCTGCGACTTAAAATCAATTTTGCATTTCCTGAATTGCCTCAAGATATCAATCCATATAATAACAAGGATTGAAAATAAGCGTAATATAAGGTGCGAACAGTCTCTAACCCTGATACTGTTTTGACTACTCATAAGGCAAAACATATTTTACATAATTTATTTGCTAATTCTTGAGTATGTGCAGTCCACCTTAGATTCTTATCCAGCCAAACTCCCCAAAATTTTATATGTTCTGTATAATTGATGACTGTATCATAGAGCTTTATTGATGGGCATTGGACTTGTACTTTTTGGGGTTGATGAATGGTTACTGCTGTTGTTTTTTCTTTATTAATAATTAATCTAGTCCTTTCAACCCACTCTGTGAGTGCATTTGTTTTATTTATTTTCCTTTGGACATTAGCACTATTTCCTGTGATTACAAAAGTAACATATGCTGAGGACGCTTTCGAAGGAAATTGGAATTTAGAGTGGAGGATATAAAAAACTACTTGTCTGTTATCACTACCACCTTCCCCATTCAGCAGTGAAATACACAGATGTCATGGTTCTCCCTGCAACAGTAGGATATTAGAAGTTCAGTTGCAAAAACATCTGTAATGTTATAAGAAGGTACACCTTGGTTAAACATCTGTCAGAGAAACGTTATCAGTAAGAAGAGTTCTGTTCAAGAAATAATGCAACTGTTAACTAAAAACATAGTTCTACATTCGGGTGACAGGATGTAACATTTGTTATCAGGGTCACAGGAGATGCTCAGGATGTTAGCCTTTCACTGCTACACAAGCCTTGGCCCAGCAATGCATGGAATGATGGATGCACTGAAAAATGCTAAGAATATTGTGGACTGAGGTACAGCCAATTTGTACATGTTGCAGCAGTTGCTCTGCAGTATCCACCACTGAAGTGTACCCCAAAGTTTTCACTTGTCCTCATAGGAAAAAATGAAAGGGATTCAGGTCTGGTGAACTATTTGGTCAGGATATTTGTCCCTGCCTTCTTATCTGTCATCCATTGTAGGCAGTCTCAGGGTACTTTTGGCAGTGTAACTGAAATGGGCTGTGACACCATCATGTCTGAACTACATGTTTCATCAAATATCCAGCAGGACAGTATCCAATATATCTGGCAAAGTATGCTCAGAAAAGTGTCAGTAACCAGCGCCATTGGGACCGTGAGACAAACTGTATGGGCCTACAAAATAGTCCCTAACAGTACCGGCCGAAACCTCAACTGAGAGCTGCTGTTGATGTCTGGATTGAATTATACTATGTTGATTTATGTCACACCATATATGCCTGTTATGTAAGTTTAGTATGCCATTCCTTGTGAAGCCTCCTTCAACAATGAAGAGTACACTGCTATTAAGTAAGGGCTCTTCACACTGTTGTAAAAGGAACCACTGGAATAATTCTTGGTATCAGTGAAAATTATGTGGGCTTAGAGCTTGTGACCATTGTAAATGGTATTACTGCAACTGTTCATGGAGTACCTGCCACACTGTTGTTCACACCACATGTTCAGCTGCTTGTATGGGGATTATACTCTATGTGCCTCGGTATGTGCTCTTTGACATCAATTGTTCATGCACTTCTCTGTCTTTCATGGTACACCATAGAAGTGTGGGAACATCCCACATTATCACGCATTTCTGGAACGCTCGCTCTTCACATCACTTTTCACCATCACGCACGCTAACCAATCAGATTGCTTCAAACGTTCGTATTTATACTGCGATCGCTCCTAGCCCACATCTACGTCATTACGCGCGCTAGCCAATCAATTCTTCCTCCTCAATTTCAAGTTTAGCTCCGCCCCACCGAGCAGTGTATAAAAAGGGGCAGCTCCAACGCCGAGTATTCAGTTCATTCAGTTCTTCAGTTCATCAGTCGACTTCAGTCTACGATCAAGCAACACCAGCCAGCAGGCTTCGTCGCCAGCGCTCGGTCTTCGGACACATCGGCAGGCTGCGCCAGGCACGACTGCCTTGGCCCTCCAGCGCTCTCATACCCGACTCACTGGGGCACCGCGCCTGGACTCGCCGGTGGTCGTGTTACTGTCCGACCCACTGGGCATCTGGCGTAGCGACTGCCTCATAACTCCTATGACCGCGCTCAACGACTAGCCTTTCACCAGCAGCTGCCGCGCAGCAACCAAGCAACGACTAGCCTTTCACCAGCCATTCACCGTAATTAGCCTTTCTCCTTACCGGCGCGCGCCGCGCTATCTCTCCGACCAAACATGTCAGCAACCGCAGTCCTTTTCAGGACCAACAAACTGTTCCGAAGAAGTGGGTTGTCATCGGAGTAGTGACAGAGACTACACATTAAGAGCCCCACAGAAGAAAAAAACATTACCAGTCTTCATGTTGTGAAGATTAGTGGTGAAAAATGTGTGTGGGTTTGGAGCTCTGCATTGAGGGTACCTCTCTGTGTACAACCTTACAGCTGTTGCACCAATGCCACAGGCTTTGCTCAGAATTAAGTGCATATTGGTGTATTCTCAGAATGTGGATTCGTTCGTTTTAAGCACAGACTTACAAAGTAGCTTCATCACTGAAAAACAGCATGTGACTGTACATACAGTCCACTGGAAATGAATGCTTGATGTCACGTGCTGGTGTATATGGTCAGCTCACTATCACTGTCAACATGAGAACTGTATGTTTATTGTTAAATAGAGAAAAGATCATAGAGATAAAAGACAGTATCTTCCACTCTAGGCTCCAGTTTCCTTCAAAAGTGTTCTTAACATACTATGGCATGTAGACCCGTTGCTAGGCAGCTGCTGCAAAATAAGCACCCATACAACAGCTGTTGTTAAGCAATGGCTCTGCAACAATAGCCATTACTAGGCGGTGGCCTGTAAACAGCAGTAGAGGAACGGTTTTTTCTGCGTGGCCTGTGCTGAGGTGTTATGAACAGGACAAGTGAGGAGTCCATTGGTTACTACGGTACTACAGTGCAGCAAATGTAGCACCTACATAGAAAGACTGACCCCTCCTTCATCAGAGAGGAGAACTTCGTTATTACATTTTACATAATTTCATTTTAATCATCTATCTTCCTCATATCTGGTGTCCTTGATACTTGCAAATGTTCACTGTGTAAAACAGGTTTTATAGTTGATGATAAATTTGGTTATTGTACCATTTGTGTAGACTTTGCAGTAATACCTAACGTATTGTGTGTTAAGCATAAATAAGAATCTGTTCATATTCATATTCATATTTAATGTGTCTTCCAGAGATTTATGTACATAGATATAGAATCCATCATCATTTATACAAGTGTGTAACTGACAAATGAAAGTCAACATGTCAGTTGTGTGATAAAACTGAGTAAGTGTGGATGTAATAGTAGAGTGAATTTACTGACTACACAACACGTTTTTTATAATAATAATAATAATATAATATTATGATAATAAAAAATGTGTTGTGTAGTCGGTAAATTCACTCTACTATTAATTAAACACACAACAGGATGCAAGAAACGATTAAAAGTGTGGATGTATCCTACACTTGAGCATGCAAGTAGTAGTAGTAGTAGTAGTAGTAGTAGTAGTAGTAGTAGTAGTAGTAGTATGCAAAACCTTATAAAGAAAGGAGGTGCAAGTGGCAGTCCCAACCTCCTTTCTGTTCTAATCAAAATTCTGTTTACGTTTTCATAATCAGCATAAGAAAAGTACATATAGATTACTTAAAAACGTCTGCATGGCAAAAACTTTGTTGGACATAGTGTCCTACATATATACATACAAATGTTTATATATCTTGCATAATGATTATAAATGAGGGCCAATAGTAGCAGTTTTGTATTATTTACAGCTGTTGGAAATTGGTGGCAGGTGAACATTCTGTATATGTATTTTTAGTGAATGGTCTTTAAGACGAGAGTGATAATTTAATCTTTAGTATAAATATATGTATTTTCTATTGCGAGAGATATTTTTACATGAATCTGTAATAGAAATGTGACTGATGAGGAGCATGGGAACTTCAAACAAGTGGCAGTGAAAGAGTTAAAGCTTAAACTCAGCTTTATCACTTTATATTTTTAGTGTTAATTGTGCTTGTAGGTGTCATACTTCTTGCTGTGGCATTCCATTGTGCACAAACACTGGGGGCGTGCCCTCAAGATCCTGTTCAAGATGGGCGAGGACAAACCATCACGTGAACTAGATGAGAAGAGCTCTGAGGCTGGTCGCAAGCTAGGCTGGGAGCACTATATCCACCACGTTGAATCCTCACTGCCCGTCAGGTACCCTCCAGTGTACCGACCTTTCTGATGGCATGGTGAGATATTTTTGTCCATTTTTTTTTTAGAAGTCTGAAGATTAGATTATAGTGAACTACTATACAGCCTTGATAAAACAAGAATTTATAAAATTTGTACAAATACTTCTTCCAGCAAGTACTTATAATGTCTGAAAATGGTTGAAATACATAATCAACAGGCTTGTCTCCCAACTTCTGATTACATATATCAGCATACAGAACAAACTCTTTGAACATCAATGTGAGCATGGCAGTATTAAGTCTTATTTACGACAGGGATAAGATAACAACAAAAAATAATTCCACATTCTTGATGTTTTTGACATTATCTGAACTGGAAAGTGGGAGATTTTTTCATATTTAAATAACATCCTGTACTCAAAACTGACCACTTATTAGGAACTACCCCTTAGAAGTGGAAGTCCCACCCACTGTTACTATTTGCTGCTTGCTGGCAATGCATGAAACTGGTGTTGAGCCAACTCATATGCATGCTATGTTACAGGTTGATTCCTAAATTTAGCAGTCACATGACACTTGTTGCATATGACTTTTCTTGCTTTGAAACAGTATAGCTTCCCTTTGAAACACAAACAGTTCTTAATCTGTAAGTGTGTCAAGAAGTAGGCAGCTTTTGCCTTGATCATTGATTTATCAACCAGTATGGAAGCTAACCTTTCCTGGCAGAACCACTCAACAAGGGCATATGCATAATCTTCATCCTTTGCATTCTCTGTCATTGGTCTCCCATCGCAGTTGATGCATGTCATGTATGTTGCCTTTGTTCTTCTAAATGATGAAGAGTGTTGAAGAAATTGAACCATGTTGCCTTCCTGTTTCCCTCTGATGGACCAACAACATTGCAGAGACATAACTTCAAGCATCCTATTCAAGTCTAAGCATTTCCATTTCAGTGGCATAATTTGTTGTCATCTTGACCTAAACAAGATGCAGCACATTCACTGAAAAATTTTCAACCCCTCTTTATAATGTATAATGAAACAAGCTACTGGAGTGAAGAGAAGTTCATATGTGATGTGATGTGATGTAGATTTCTCATTGGGCTGCACCTTGAAGTTATATTAAAATTTGGTCCTAATTGCCCCTACTGTAAGTAACATTTATAGGAGCTGATCAGTTCTTTAAGATTATGTATTAGGAAGCACACTGAGCACTTCTGTCTCAGGATCTAGTAAATGATGTATTCAGACGTATGGTACTCAGATTCCAGAATAAAGACTTTGTTCCCTTACACAAGGGAAAAGCCCAAAGGGTGGGTTAGTGGTACCTGTAAAGACTGTCTTTCGTAAATAGTTTGGGAAGCAAAACTGTAAGTATTGTCAGTGCAAAAGTTATGAGAAGTACCAGCCAGTTAGGAATCACTTGTAGTGAAGGAAGTGCCTTGGCAAAATACAAGTTGCATTATTTTGTGTGTGAGATACTTTGTCTGTCAGTCAGAGGGAATGATATGTAATAGAGAGAGATGGTGAGACTATTTGAACCTTAGGTGGATGAAATAACAGAAGACTGGATAAAAGAGTGTAATTTATAACATCAGAACTGATACTCATTAGCTAACCACCTGAAGATATGGGAACAGATGGAAGTAGAAATAGTAGTAATGAGTTTAGAGGTACTTCAGGAGCATGGTTATTCATGTTAGATGAGAGGATAATATTGAAAAGGATTTTGCAGAAATGTAAAGATATGAACTGAAGTGAACCAAGACTGCAGTCATCTGTTAGATGGTTACCAACCTGTAGGGGGAACCTGGTGCCTCTGTGTCTGAAGCAGAAGAAACTAAAGTGAAGGTAAACTGAACTAGTTGAGAATACAGTTCAGTAATGGTCTTGTTTATACACAGTGATTTTCTCTGCCATTTCATGTTGAATTTTCACCATGATCTTGTTCAGAATGATACCCTGTAGGTAACAGGTCGCAGAATTGATATGTTTCATTATCTTGGTAATCTGTATCCATTGAACTGCTCCAGGTTTCCATGATTTCAAAAATATCTTTCCTCATGGAGAAATAGCCCCCTGATGCACTCATGGTGTCAACATTGCTCAGTTTTAGGAAGACTGAAGTGAACAATCTTTCTTGCATTAACAGACTGTACAGACTGCACAGATATCATAAACTGAACTTAAATTCTGCATGTAAACAGAATGGAATAATATCTACTTTTTAAGGATATATCTTTCAGTGGTTGAGTGTCCACAGCCAGAGATACATGTGAAGTAAAATTTTGAATAAAATACTGACAGTCAAGTAGAACAATTCAGTCTTAAATACTTATTTTTACCAACATCTGTCAAACAGTATGTAAAGACATGAACTTTTGAGCACAGTTGTATGTAGCCCAAGGCCCACTCTGACTTCAAGAAAAAAAAAAGACATGAGATGCTCATTAACCCATTGGGTATGGTCTATGGAGCTGTTCTATATTCTTAAGTTATTATGAAATTTTGACTTATTCTCAGAGGTGAGGGTTATGTACAGGTTATGGCTGTGTCTTAAAAGACATCAGTACACACTTCTTCAATACTAGTATCTGTGGTATGTATAGATGGCAGGGAAATATATTTTCATCAGATGTTGATTTTTCCAGAAATAATCACAGTGCCAATGTATTTTCCTGTACCAAAAAACCCAGACTTCAGTGGGTTAGGGAGCTCAAGGTTTGACTGCCCCACCAGATCTGCATATCTTCACAGCTAAATGAATGGTCAGTCAGTCCAACACAGTAATAAACATTTTCTGTTGCAGGTTAGTTATTGTGACCAATTCTGTGTGGATTATGACTGACTTCCTACCTCCAAGTATAAGACGGTATAGCAGTTACAGATAAACCATTTGCTGCAATTTGAGAGAGCATAAGCTCCATTTTAACTAAAATTTAGATGTACAGTAAACCCTTGACCAATGTGGATTTGCTTATACTTGCCAGAACAAAGGGAACAGTTATATGCCAAATGTGGAAGGTTTGAATATGTGCAGTCATACCCCAGTCATGACCCTGAAACATTGCAGATTAGTCGTCCTAACACTGAGGTAATACTTACTTTTACCTCCTGCAGTTTATGGACCAAAGGATTGTCAAGACATTTAAATCTTGTTACACACAAAATGTCTACTGGCCTTTAATGCAAGATATTGATTGTGGTGCTGCTGATAACTTAAAACAGTATAGGTAGACCATTCATTCGAATGTGTTTAAGAAAGCTTACATATCTTGGTATTAATGTGAGAGTTCATGTAACGATGTTCTTGTATCCTCCTTTAACCCATAATGTATTAAGTTTGGCCATCGCAAATTTACTTAATGCACCATTCTTGAGGAACCTAACCGCCACATTGGATGAGGGTTCACTCTGTAATTTAGTGAATTTTAAAATTGTGTTCTGCATACAGTGTTTTTGTGAATTTTGATGAATGAAGACTGGAAGAATTGTCTGAATGTCCACTTTCTTGCTCTGATTTTTTTTTGTGTATGTATAGACATAATTGAAACAATACTATATTTATTTTATGCAGAAGTGGACATGTTAGATGTTGGACATTTGCTTTATCATAACCGAGTGATGCACAAATAAAATGGCTAGTCTCGTCTGTAATAATGCTTGATAAGCTTTATTAAAATCAGTAAAAATTATCGTGTGTTGAAGGAGACCATGAATCAGAAATTTCTTTCATGGTATATTTATATGTTTATCACACCTGCCTTACTTTAATGCATAACTTTTAATGACAAACTGTGATGTGTGTCTAAGTTTAAAAAGAATTTATTTTGAGAATATGTAATTTTATTAATCTTTATTGGCCATGCATTCTATTGTAATGGCATGTGTGTGCAGTGCAGCTGAGCATGACATTTCTTCATTATTAATACAGTTATTTCTGGGTTAAAATCTAACGGCTACTCTCATCCAGAACTGGGAGATTTAAAAATCTTCTATCCCCAGACAATAAACATTAAGAACTTAAGAAATTTTCATTCTCGAATTTAAGACTGGTGTGCTGCATACAGCAGGACAATATCTTTGCACATTTTATAATCCCAAATAAAATTCATAAATGTAAACTCCTTCAAAGCATGATTTATTTTTCTGATTTAGAACTGCCAGGCAGGGATTTTTGCAGAACTTTATAAAAGAATCATACCTACCTTGGAGTCAGGATAGCTCAGGCAGTACAGCAACAGGCTGCAGGCTAGACATCCCAGGCTCGACTCCCAGCAGTGCAAGATTTTTCTTTTCTCCACAGTGTCCAGACCAACTTTGGGGCCCACCCAGCCACCTATCCAGTGGGTACCAGGGGCTCTTTCCCCAGGGGTAAAGCAGTAGGGGCGTGATGCTGACCATTCACCTCCATCTAATGCTGAGGTCTATAAAGATGGAGCTATACCTCCACTTCCCCATGTCTTCATGGCGGAGTGTTTAATTAATTAAGCACAGGGACAACTTTAGCTTTATGTACCTTAGTTTCAGGAGATTTTACTTTGATTTGTTCAAAAATTAATGAACAGTAACAGTTATCATACTGGCTCAACACAGCTGTTCATAAGATTGTGTTGAAGCATTCTGTTGCACTATGATGATGGCCAGTTAGGCCGAAACATGTAGTGTTAAATAAATAAGAATTAGAATTTTAATACACAGATGAAGTTGCAATAAGACAGTGAAGTGAGTGCTAAAATTGATATAAAACATCATTGCACTGTACATGATAAAACAGAAATCAAGCTACAAACAGCATTATTTCTGTGCAGAACTTTATGCTTTCTACAGGGGAAAAAATCCTACAGTGCAAATTATAGTGAAAAGGTGGCAGAAGGTCATGATATTTTGCCATGTCTCCTGGGGAAAAGGCAAATTCATTTATTCTAAGTTTTGACTAGTGAATATTTGTACTGTGGCCCATGAAAATGCATTACGTGAAGTGTAAATTGTTGCTCTGTGTCCCTGTAATGTTATTACTCATAACCCATCTGCTGATGGCCTCACACTGCCATGATCCTGTTACATGTTAGTAATGTGTGTTGAGATGTCATAGCTGGTTATTTTAGCAGGACTCTCAGTCCACAGTAGCTCTAGAATTTCCTGTACACATTAGAAAGTTCTGCTGCTGGTAGTAAATCATATGTAATCAGAGTATTATTCTATAAGGAAAGATAAGGTTGTGGTATTATCATGTCTCCTCTTTGAGTTTTTAGCCAATTTAAAATTTTTCATGAAAGATTGAATTAACAGCATGGCACTAAAAGCCACTGCATCTCGATACTTTTCAAATTCCTACAGTTGAACTTGAGATGCAAGCATGACAAAGTATGCTAGCTTATTATTCTGAAATTTTGTTTATATCTTTTTAAGTGTGGTAATAGGGTTTTTAAGGGAAGAAGTGGGGTATAAAACTAGGCAACTGCATGAAATACATATTTAGGTTTCATTTTGATAGCAATAATTAATAAATCAATGGATAAATTTTGTATGGGGTTAGATTATAAGCATACTTGCAAATTCTGGTTGGTGCTGTCATATGTTTTTTCCAAGAACTTCTTGTTTGTTGTTGCTATCTTGTCTTTTCGGGAGGTATTCAGGTGTGATATAGAATAAAGGTAACAAATAGGTGGCTTGTTCATTAAATTAATTTAACATGTCTGCCTATATTGTAGGTTACCTTTACAGTTAAAATATGTTATATCTGTTCAGTTACTTCAACTCCAGAGTTTTACTATTTCTTATTAAACTTGGGATGGGCATTTAGTCCATCTCTCAGATTTATTTATTTTTCACCTGCTTCACAACAAGAAGAAGAAGAAGAAGAAGAAGAAGATGATGATGATTCTATCCAAAAATGTCTTGTTTTCAATTGGACAAGCGTAATAAGCAACAGTATGTTGGTGTATTCTCATAACCCTTAACATAAACTGTTCTGTTACATCTGTGATTGTTTTTTAAAGTCTGCATCACTACTGAAATTATATTTTTTTTTCTGTAATTACTAATTGGCTTGTAATATATTTTCTACATAGAGAAAACAAACATTTTGCTGTTTTAGGTGACTTCCAATGTTGCATATGTTGATATCTGAAACACTGCAGCACCCCTTTGCTATATCTGAGCTTGCCTGTACATGTGCAACCCTACACTTTGAAATTAATAACTTTAATAATGCCATATTCTGTGAAGATATATCATTTCTGAAATTGAGAATATTTATTTCTTGATATCTGTAGCCTGAATATCCTGTATATGAAGAATCCATTACTCTTTACTTTATTGTAAATCCTCTGTTGACCCTTCTACCACTCACATACTTTGTAGTTTAAGCATTTATTTCTCAAAACCTGTGCCATTTCGTCCATCATAATACATGAATGATTTGCAGCATAATAACATTGTAACATTTAAGTGGTGGATTATGAATGAAACTTTAATTATCACCATCTTGAATTTTTAAATGTAGTATTAAAAATAAACTGTGTCAGACCTGCCAGGAAGACAAGAAATTATATAAAAATATATCATTCCTCTATACTAGACAGTTGGTACAGTGGAAGGTCTGTATTTTAAATTCCACTTAATTTTACATTTAAGTATTTTAACATGTATTCCTTTCAGACCCTGTCTCCAAGACAGTGTGGTGGCAAAAGTAACACACAGGTCTAGGTAAAGTTACAAATACTATTGTAAAAGAAACAGAGTATAAGTAAGGCTTTGAAATTCCGTCCAGCAATGAAACATGTTAATTATTTTCTTGGCTTCATTCAAAGTGGAAGAGGAAGTTTACCTTTTAGCAGAGAAATGAATTGTAACACAGCATATAATGTAGTAACATAAGGTGGTATGTACATGATCATCAAAGTACCTGTTAACAACAAAAACAAAAATTGAGTCCAGAATAAATTCAGAAAATGGTTCTGGAACTGTGCACAGTGTGTGTATGCACATGTGCATGCAAGCACAGGAGAGTAAGATAATACCAGAACAAAATTTCAGGTTAAGAAGAAGTGGGAGTTCTCAGAGAATAAAATGAGTTATCTTAGCTGCAGGTGGGACTTTCTGATTTGTGTCTGTTGAATGGTAACTTTGCATATAGCGAGTTTTTGTTTATCTCTGTGATCTGTGGATTGAGTGGAATCAGAATATCCTACAATGCTCCCACAAATCATAATTATACTCAGTTTGTGTTACTTATGTAAATGTATATAATTTTGAATACACTTTGTCTTTGCAAACTGCAGAAAATCTGTTTTGGTGTAAGAAAACTTAAAATGGCACCAGTGAAAAGGAAGCATTAAATATGTGTAGTAACACTGCCTGTGACAAGTAATGTGTATAAAAATGGTTATTATAAAATTATATCTTCATATCATACTACCTGTTGAAAACAAATTCTGTAAAGTACAAGGGCAACTTTGTAGCAGGAATATACAGAAAAAATCAGAACAGAATAACATGAACTGAATATCACTTCTGAAGACAGTGACCGTGATAGGGCTGTTATGTACCAAGAAAGTGATGATATTGTTGAAAACTACTTTATCATAATTTTTTAACAGGAGTGCCAGGATATGGTGCATATATGATAGCTGAGTTGGTAGAGTGACAGGCTATGAGATGGATGGCCAGGATTACATTCCTGGCAGGCTCAAGAGATTTTCTCTTCTCCATAGCATCCACACTGGCTCTGGGTTCCACCAAGCTTCCTAGAAAATGGGTACTGGGGGCTTTTTCACCAGGCACAATGTGGCCAAGGTGTGAAGCTGACCACTCACCTTAATCTAGTGCAGAGGTCAGGAATGGTGGGGCTATACCTCCACTCCCCCATACATCTTAATGGCATGATACTTAATTAAGCATGGACAATTTAGCAGGAAAATGAAGAAACCAATTCAGATGGATAGAAGGAAAACAGTTGTCGTTTCTGAATTGTCTGGGTAATGGGGTCCTGAAATTGCTTGATGTTCAATTTCTTTGAATTTCCTTGCCACAAGATAACGATTTTTTTTTTCATTTTGTTTTTCTGAATGAACCAGTGTTACTCTTAATGAGGATTTTTTTTATCACATGAGGTTTAATACAACTATTCTATGAAAATCTACCTTGATCCATGTGATGAAATTAACGACTCTCTTGGAGATTATGCTTTCTAAACATATCAAACACATATTGGAAGTGGGAAGTTCATCCTTCTTAAAAGCATTAGGAAGAATGATTTCAGCCAAACATTATTTTGCACATTTTCAGAAAACCCCTAAAACCATCACAAAGATACCTCATTTTATTCAGTTTTTCACTATTTGAAGTTCCAGTTTTCACTGTTACGAACTTCATAAGCATGCTGGAAACATTTCAGTATATTTGTATTTAAAAATGGCAAATATTCCTCTTGCATTTTAGAAATATAATTAATTCTGTAGCAGAAAATATATGCACCTAATTGTTGTAGGTCTAACATGTTTTCTCATCCATCATAGGTTAATGTACAGAGACTGTATGTCAGTGATAAGTGTGTTGATACAGTAAGCTGTAATCAAGAACAATTTAAATTATTAACAGTCACTGTGAAGAATAATCTGCTAATATGCAGTTCCAAAAATATTGTTTCCCTGTCTCCTATTTAAAAGCACAGAGATCAAATGTACAAAACTATAATTTTACCTGTTGTTCCATGTGGGTGTGAGACTTGGTCTCTCGCATTAAAAGAAAAACTTCAATTGAAAGTGCTGAGAACAGGGTGCTAAGTAGAATATTTGAACAAAGGAAAAAGTAACAAGAAGCTAGAAAGAGTTAGTTGAGAAGCTTCATAAATGTTTGCTCTTTGCACAGTAGGGTGATAATATCAAGGACAGAGAGGTCAGATGAACAGGTAGCATGCATGGAAGTGAGAAAAGCATACAAAACTAATAAAACCTGACAGATATAGACTGCTTGAGAGGCATAGGTGTAGATTGGAAGTGATACAAAAAGGATCTTAAACAAACAGGGTGTGACAATATGGACTAGAGTCATTTGGGATCAGGATGGACTTTCCTTAGCATGGTAACAAACCTCTGAGTTTCACAAAAGACAAGAAGTTTCTTTAGCATCTTGAGTGACTATCAGGTGCTAAGAGAAATCTTGCATCATGGAGTTACTTCCAATTAGGAATTGTCATGTGTAGCATACAGTAAAATTTTCTTTCAAAGTTCTCAGAAGCAACACCGTACGGTAATTTGTGGGATCAGACTTTAGCTTGTATACTGGACAGCATTATACTAATCTGTGTCATTTCATCTAGCATAATATTGTAATGGATTTTATCATGTTGCCAGGCAACAGCTCTGTAAACACAGTCCAACACGCATCAATAGAGGAAGCTGTTTTTTCTGTAGATCCAACCGATGAACCAATAGACTGGCTGGATAGCGATCACGTGATATGTGTTTACTGTATGTCCATGTCCATTCCGTGGCTGTATAAGTAAGTGACATAATTCGTTCAAGGCAGTTGTGAGTTACGGGTCAGTAGTAAGCCCAGAAGAATTTTTAGTTCTGACGTTCCACTGTGATTGAAGACAAGAAGACTTCATAGTGATCTGAAATGATAGTTTTTGCATTGAGATCCATTGCTAGGAGACGACTAGTGAAGACAGAATCCTAGTGCATGTGCAATGGTGAACTGGAAAGTGTGTAAATCAGTGATAGTGCTGTATTTAAGTGTGATTAAGAGACCTTTTAACCAAGGTGCTAATAAATTCAATCATCCAAACTAGAACCTGTTATTTTCGTCACATGTACCACCCTACACATGACATTTTTGTGTTAGAAGTAGGATGTTTGGATCGAATTGGATGGATCATAAGTGATTTTTTTTCCTTGGCACTACATCCCCAGTGGGCCTAGGCCTACCTCCATGAACTTTTCCGTTCATTTCGGTTTTTCTTGATCTTACACATTCGGTAGCACTCCTTGGGCAGGTGATCAGCTTGTCGCAAGGCCTCTACCCGTACACAATCACAGAAAAACGCACACACACACACACACACACACACAAACTAAACATCCATGCCCTGAGTGGGATTCGAACCTACGATCCCGGTTTCCAAGCGAGCGAATACAGTACATGCCTTAGACTGCTTGGCTACCATGACCAGCATCATAAGTGATTACAATCGTAAAATACATGACAACTGGTGTTAGAATTGGTATGGATTGGATTGCAGGGATCAGTTAGTGGAAGAAAGAATGAATTATGCAATTACAGTGCCACACTACAAAAATGAAGCACATGATGGAACTGATGTTGACCATATTGGAGAGCCCCCTTGGAGTAGAAAATGGACTGATAGAGCAGAGCCTGCACACCCATCCACCTGAAGGAATTTACATAGCCAGAACCTGTGTCCAAGACTGCCGGGAGGTACCAGTGAGGGTCTTGAATGCTACACATCAGGAACAAAGCTCACAAGAGGAACCCCTCTGGCAGTCACAATGGTGACTCCACCCCACGTGGAACAACCCCAGTGCAAAGAGCTGACCTCAGAAGAAATGGAATCTGGAGCAGAGAATCAGGAGGACCCTAAGGAAGATGCCACAGTGAAACGGGTGGGGTGACTGAGGAAGGGGGCAGAAAGATGACCCGCTGTGCAGGAGTGGCCTGACGCAAGGGAAGCTTTGTCAGGAAACTGTAACCGCTCACTTCTTTGGGACCTTTACGTTGGTCGCCATGCTGTTGCCGTCCTCCCTTTATCCTACGTTTGTGCTCCACTTATCACCGCCCTCCCTCTTCTCATGGATGTCGAGAAGTTAGGTGGGAAGGGAGGAGAATTGTGATTGTTGGACCTGGTACGCGAGAGCAGGTAAAGACGGGAGTATCTGGGTTCTGTTCGGTAATTTGTAGAGCTGAGTTCATATCCCAGGTCTTATACGGGTCTGGCTCGGGCAGGGCAGGAAGAACCTTTCACTCCAATCACACACCTCTTTCAACCGTTGCACTTAGTGGTCATTTAATTTGCTCCAGCTTACAGAATACAACTGAATTTATCAGTACACTTAATTTGAACTTTACTTATAGTACTTTTACAGAAGGGCCGTAGTTGTAAATTTTGTGTCCGACTTTGCCAAAAGTTGTATGAAGACTCATCAAGGTGGAATGCCCTCTCTCTGAATCCTGAGGTCCACGAACCCTAGACTCCAAGAGAAATCCACTCCTCCACTTCTGCCATTGGTTAAGTTTTCAAACTAGGAGGTTCCCTAAATTTTGAATTCCCAATCATGTTGCTTTGCTATATGATTCTGGCAGATGCTGACCTGACGCTAAGGTTGACAGCCTCTTGATGCATTACGATCAGGGTATGAGGCTCCAGCCATTCCACTTTAAAGTTATAGCTGTCTCAAGCTGTCAGCTCTCAAATTCTCAAAGACTTTCCGACTTTGCTGAAACTGCCAGAATTCCAGGAAAGTACCAGATGTTACTTCCTGTCCACGTAGCAAAACTTGAACTATGTCCCTTCTGCATGTAAGAGCTGGCTATCTGCCGGATCTCTTTGTTTGTAATTTTGTAATCTTAACTTAATACAGATTTAATTAATGCACAATAGTCCACCAATTAGAATGAACGGTTACAAAACATTTGACCAGGGACAGTGATAAACAAGAAACCTGGAAAGGACAAACAGAGAAGAGATGCTGGAAAAGCCTGGAATGAAAAATTGGAATAAAGGATTCTGGCACAAGACGGCAGCTGCGTCTTAAGATCGAGAGGTCATCAGATGGGTTCGACAGGAAGACTTCTGGATTGCAGTTTGTGAAGCAAGCAGCCAGGATCTCCTGCAGGTTGTGGGAGATCAGAAACTGGACAGTATGGAGGTGTCAGCCCCCTGCAAATTGGGAGAACGTACTAGCAGCATTGGTGCGAGAACAGCCAGACATTTAGGACCACTGGCCATTCTAGGTAAGTTTTCCCCCACTGGTTGGAAAAAGGAAGAAAACCTTTGGACTATGGTGAGAACCTGGACTAAGTGGAACCTTATAAAGGAACCACTTTAGATGAGCTGGCCTTAATGGGGAAGCGGCAGTAGCGCTTGGAGAATGAACGCCACAGAAAAAAAAAGATCAGTGGGAAGAAAGGTGAGACGTCACAAGCAGAAACCTCAGAAAGAATGATGATACACTGTTAGGCTACTTGGGACGAGCAGCCTTAAGGAAGGACCAGTGTAACAGATTTGATCAACGATTGCCAGGCAACAGCTCTGTAAACACGGTCCAACACGCAACAGTAGAGGAAGCTGTGTTTACTGTAGGTCCATGTCCCTTCCGCGGCTATATAAGTAACTAACAGAATTCATTCAGGGTAGTTACGAGTTACGAGTCAGTCATAAGCTGGAGGAGTGAATTAAGAAGAATTTTTAGTTCCGAGGTTGCAGAGTGGTTGAAGAAAAGACGTCATAGTTATTTGAAGTGATGGTTTCTTTGCTAGATGACTAGTGAAGACGATGAATCCTAATGAGTGTTCAATGGTGAACTGGAAAGTGTGAAAATCAGCAACAGCATTGTATATAAGTATGATTAAGAGTGCTTGTAACCAGAGTGTTAATAAATCCAATCATCCGAACTACAACCTGCTATTTATGTCACGCGTACCACACGACACGTGACATTATGTAAAAGACTGACAGAGTAACAACAACATAATATTTAAATGGTGGATTAGGAATCAAATCTCAGTTATCATAATCGTGAATCGTTCCATGTAATATTCAAATTAAATTGTATCAGACTTGTCATGAAGACAAATATATATGAAAATTTTCTGTTCGGCTATACCAGGTAATTGATACAGTGAAAGGTTTACATTTTCAGTTACAGTTAATTTTAAACTTTTGTGTTCAGCCTATAATAATCATTTTAATGTCAGTATCCAAAGACAGTACATTAGCAAAAATACCATACAATTCTAGGTTATTTTACAAATTATATTAACAGAATTTATTTAGGTATAAGGCTATGGAATTTTGTGGCCAGCAATAATACATTTATTTTCTGTTCTTTCTATGTACATTAAATAAGAAGAAAAATGTGTTGATTATAAACAGTCAGCCTCAATACAAGGCTTCAATTACAAACTGACATAACCAACGTCTTACTGTAAAGTTGTCCTTTCCAAAGTTGTTACACAGCATTCTGCATTATAAAATAGACATTAAATGAGCATTCAGTGTCAGTTTTTTACAGTCCCACATGCAATACTCTTCTATAAAATTTATTAAAAGATATTCACTTTACAAGTTTATCACTATATGTTTCAACCAGTGTGGTCATCATCAGGTGTTATAATTACTGGACGAGGAAATTCATGTCTTCTGTTTTGTTGCTTATGTCATTAATGTATGTCCCCTTGATGCACGTGTTTGAGTTGCATTTGAAAACAATACACACAATCCAACTCAAACACACATGCATATTGAGGTGACTTATATGTTAACAATATATGCAGAAAAATAGAAGACAGCAGTTTCCTCATTCAATAATTTTAACACCCGATGATGGCCACATTAGTCAAAATATGTAGTAACAAAATTTAAAATGAATATCTTTTAATAAATTTTATAGAACACAGTGCTGCACGTGAGACTGTAAAAAACTTGACACTAGGTGAAAAGTAGAACAGGATGCTACAATTATTCAGTGAGTTATGTAGAACATGTACAAAGAGATGCCAGCTCTCCACANCAAGGACTTTGTCCACTTGTTATTTCATGTAATGCCACTGCACTGTCCTATTCTACATATTTCTGCTTGCACTGAATTTGCTTCTCACCTTTCAGCATTCACTGCTCCTTCACATCTGCACTTGGTATCTGTTGCTCTTAACTAAGACTGTATTCTAGTGGAGCTTGCAGCTAATTATTTACATGTTATAACTTAGAGAATGTACTGGTGCCTACATACGAGTGAATGCAACTCTTTGCATTTCTGCAACAATCTAGAAGGGGATGGGAAGTTTCAAAGTTTGAACTGAAAGAGAGACATTTGCAGGCCAGGCAAGCTGCAACCTGCTCCTCGTTCAGTTCTGGTGTAAGTACTGTAAATGAAAGACTTGCTACTGATTTAATCTCTAACAACTGTTTATAGAAGTTAAAATTTCTAGAACTATGGATAAATAAGATAGGCTAAAACTTTTCAATTCAGAGATGTTTTATACATGTTCATTAACTAACTGGCAATTTAATTTGATCAACCATTCATAACATTTTCTGCAAAAACAACCAACACAGTAAGGAATTCCATATAATAACATACATTGTGATAACCAGTCTGTGTATAGTGCAAATAATTGCCTACTTCACTTACATATACAACGAGAAGAGTACAAATAATGACATAGAAATATGCCACTGTCAAGAAATATTTAAACCCATACCCAGTCACTTCTGATATTAAAACAAATTATACTTATGTCCAATAACTGAATGGTGAACTGCAATCAGAACAAATTCACCTTGAGCTACATTGGAGCAGTTTTTTCTGCCCAAGAAACTGGGAAACAGACTGTTATTCAGCCAGATCTCAGTAATCCACATGACTTTGTGGTAATTGGCACAGGCACTGTTTTTATAATGTATCTGCTCCTGGCATTCTGATAAAAACAAATGTTACCAGACATGCTGTAGAAATCATGATTACTGGCATACTAGTTTCCCAACATGAATTACTGGAAAATGGGAATGCTTCCCACGCTCATCTCACTAGCACTAGCAGGGCTGTTTAACATTCAAAGGTTATTAGCAGCAGGAGCTCCTGCTTTCTTTCATTTGCCTGGCAGCTGAACTAAAAACATAATTCATAATTATATATTTGTGTCATTGCAAATAACATCACCTTAGCTTCTTGAACAGTTTGGAGCAAATCATTTAAAAACAACAGAGAAATGTAGATACTGTATATAAGGATATAACAGTAATATATAGTGATTTAGAAGGACAGAACAGGACACTCAAATACAATATTTAATGTCCCTATATTACTTCACTCCTGTCTGCAAAAGATGAAGCGGTTGAAACTGATGCTACTGCTGACTTTTAAGTACTGTTTTCCTTTTGCTTATGTTAGGAACCAAATGTTTTGGAATGGATGTTCATGATAGGAAATTATTGCCCATTTCAGTTTTAATTGTGATAAGACTAGAAATAAGGAAAGCATATAATCGACAAATTTAATCACAATGTAAATGCTTTTCTTTCAGAAAACACCTCTTAGAAAAACTGAATACAGTTTCATTGTAGAATAAACGACTTCTATGGTTGAACCAAATAAAATCTCCACCAGTTTCATTGCACTACTAGCTAATACCACTGTTAAGTGCTGTATGCTAGTACAATTATTTTATTTACCCTGGTTATTCTGTGTATATATATATATATATATGTTGGTGAATAATTCAGAAATATACAGCATCCTATTTATTTTCTCTTCCATAGCTGCAGTGGTAATAAATTTTTACAATTTCACCTTCTTTGCTGAAGGTGCTTGATCTTCCTCCTCATCTTCTTCTCCAGACTTCTGAAATATTGGTGTTGGCTGTGTCTTGGAGTATGCAGGGGAAACCCAGTATGGATTTTCTGCTGCTTCTTTTGCATACCGCAGGATAGCTTCCCTAGGGTCCTGGTCATCTTCCACCCTCTTGCTGAGACCCAAATTACGTATAACATAAGAACTTAGAGTTCCACCAGACGTTGCCACTCGCCCACCCTGACCAGATGAAATGGGAAGGTCTGGTCTGCGGGACTTCACAGGATCCTGTCTGTCCCGCTCCATCTGCTTCCTAATTGATTTGGGTTTCTCCTGCCGAAACATTGGCAAAGCATGTGGTGTAAGGATCTGCTGTGCTGCCACCACCTCCACTTGCTTCACCTTCCTCCGAGTCTTCACCACACAGAGCTTCGCACCACGCATGCTACAGTTGTTATCATAGTAAACTTTGACAGTTCCATTCCCACATCCAACAAAAATCTGGTTCAACTTTGGATGCCAAACAGCCTTGATGACATGAGAATCTGTGACATCCACCTCGGTGACTTTATCAAATATTTTTGAATCATAGAAGTGCAACCTGCCAGAGTTCTGTCCCCTTCTAACAGACTCTCCTGTCAGTATCATAGCATCATCAGGGCTAAATGAGCAGTCAGTAGTGGAATAACGAGAAAAGAGATCCTCAACAACATGTAGAGGTTTCTTGAATGCCCTCAGGTCCCAAATTTTCAGGGTGTCATCACACCCTCTTGTTGCAAGTAGACTGCCAAGGTAAGAGAATGCAAGACATGATGTCTCTGTGCCTGACTGGTGAGCATCTCGCAGCAGCATTGCTGTGTTTACAAAAAGTTTTCGGTGATCCCACATCTGCAAAGATCCATCCATGCATGCACAAGCTATGAGATTTCCATCTCGGCTATATGCACATGCAGTAGGAACTGTTTTGAGTCCATTCTGTGCACGTGTCTTAATGATGGCTTTGTGATGTTGAGGTTTCTCTACATCCCACAACCGACATGTACTATCTGCTGCACAGGTCAGAAATTCTTCCCTGACACGAGGATGCCAACATCCACTGTTCAATGGTGCTGTGTGACCTTTGGTTCTTGCCATATCAGCAATATATTGGTCTCCCTTGACACATTCTGCAACTTCAAACCCATCTCGATCAAGAACTTTGGCCTGAGACATCCCAGATATCACAAGTATCACATCTCCTGTCACAGAATACTGCAAACTCTTTATTGGATGGTTTTCACAAGGCTGAAGTGTGCGGAAGCTTTGCATTGTAGCATCCATACCAGCAAAGTCCCAAAATCGAATGTCATAGTCAACGGATCCCGTTGCCAATCGAGCTCCTGCAGGATCAGCTGCTACTGCTACTACTGCCTTTGTGCCATGAAGCATCGACACTTCGTGACTGGCTGGAATTTTATCCCGCCAATTCTCCTCATTTTCGTTATCATCTTCCTCACCACTATTTTCACTGCTGACACCAAACTCATCTTCTTTATCCTTACCCGTAATTATATTATCAGTTGCACTATGCACCAGCTGTGCTGGTACAGGAGGGCCAATAAAATCATCATTGCTGTCATCTTCACTCTGTTTACACAATTGTTTTTCGTTTTTTGGTTCACTGACAGAAAGAGGGCCAAGTTTTTCTACTGCAGAATCAATGTTCGCTCTGCTCCTTTCTTTTGCCGTTCTTGTAACTTGTTCAAGCATTTCTTCAATATTGAATTGTTTACACTTTTTTCCAAACCCTCCGAACCCCATAATTTCACGCATCTGTTGATTTTCTGGATCTGTTTCGGGTATTGCATCAATTTCTTCACAGCTGTCATTCTGCTGAACATTGGTTTTTGATATATTACCAAATTTTCCAAAGCCCACAGACTGTTGATCAGTTCTAACACTATTTACGTCTACTGCCGCTTGCACTGTACTCAATGTATGTCCAATTTTTCCGAATGATATAACCTTTTTTGTTTTGTTCATTTTACTGCACAAACTTCAAACCTGCCATTAACATGATCAACCTTGTACACTTAATTATTGTTGCCACCCAGAAACTGAATGCAGAAATTGTTCTTCCAC